CACCAAATCCTCGGCTGCCTGTGTGGTACCAGTTATCCTCACACAGCGGAACTCCCGAAACCGTACTAATATATTTAAAATATACTTAAGTATTATATTTATATGTATACTTACAATGTATTCCCGCGCTGGTTGTGCCGCTCGATCACTCCAGCTCTGTCGCTGCCGACGTTTTGTAAACGAAAGAATTCTAGAATTTAAATTGACCAATAGTATTGTCGCAGGATAGAGAACTATATTCGCAATTTATCACTGAAAACTGACCGTTAGTGGGCTATATTTGCAATTTACTTATTCCTGGGATCATTCGAGAAGGTAGGGGTAGGCTAAAAGATAGGTGGTATTGCATGTAAAAGAGTGGTGTAGCCAAGGCAACCCCTTAGGTTTATGGCTGCAAAATTTTGAAATCCACCACTAAGTATAAAATCATCCATCGGTTTTCTATAATATCTGTCATTAAGTATAAAATCATCCATCGGTAATCTATAACATCTGTCATTAGAGCGATTCCCGCAGCCCGTTTAGGATCCTGAGTCCGTCCTTTATCATGTTCAAAAAAATAAATCTGGGAGACCCCCCCCCCCCCTTTCAAATTCCGAGTCAAACGAGTTTTGGAGTTTGAAAAAGAATATCAGTTTAGAATCAAACGCGTTCAAACGGCTGCGGGAATCGCTCCATTTGTTCAGCTTTTATTCAGATTACAAAGGTCGAGCTGCTCCAACTAAGTTCTCTAATAATGTCGATCTCTGACTTACTGCTCCAGAAACTACTTTCGTTTGTTTATTATTCCAGCACGGCCAACGATAAGAAGGACCGAAGTATGGACAATCACGCTCGGTAAAGTACGTTGGATAGTTGTAACAAATGGCGAGTGACCTGCAGTCGCATGGCGAATTTCGGGGGTAGGAAGCGAAGTTCACCTCGCATTCGCTTTCTTTATCTATTTCCTCGTTTACCAGAGCTATTCAAACGATCATACCGCAAAAAAAAAGGAAAGATGCCACTGATCCATCTTCTTGTGTTCACCCTTGGGGTACACTTTGCCCTTTACTCGACTAGCGACGTTCAGCTGTAAAGTTATCCAACCATGGTGCGCTTGCGACCACGAAGACGCACTTGAGAGAGCTTCTGGAAGATCGCATCAGAGCGGCGGGATTTTGCTCGGTATGCACGCAAAACCTCCTCAACCTGTCGTCAGCACAGTAATAAAACGATAAGCTGTCAATCGCCAATTCGCTTCTGTCTTGTTTAAAACATTTTCCACACGCACCAGAAGCTCAGAGTTGACGTGCGTGCTGGCGAACGCGCGCTCCATCACATACAGGTCGACAGCCTTGTCCTCCGGCAGCGGCTGCGAGTTGGCCAGACCGAAATCGATCATCGTCTAACACGTCACAAACTCATTATTAAACACCACCCGAAAACTGTAGCATTCTCCACTAGTCACTCACTACATCCGTGGCATCGTCACTGCTTAGCATCATGTTAGACGTCGTCAGGTCTCCGTGGACAATATCGGCGTCGTGCATCTTGGCAATGGCTTCGCCAATGTGATAAGCCTTCTTGAGCGCCTCATTCCCATACTTAGGGTCTGTACCACACCACCACAATATAAACCATACCTCATTAGTAAATCTATGCTGGTAGTGCATCAATAGCCATCGTACCGAGCTTGTAAGCTCGTCGCAGATAGTCCTTCAGACTGCCTCCTTCCACCTTTTCCAGGTAGAGGCGACTATTGTCTTCATCCACCAGGAAGATAACAGGCGTAAGGACTCCAGCACGACGACACTTGAGAATGCAGCGAGCCTCCTGCACTAGGCGACGATGCGACAGTTTCTTGTCCAGTACGGGCAGGCGGTAGCTTTTCTTAACGCGCTCTTTGACGATGCAGGGGCGGCCAGCGAAGTCCGTCTCGAAGACTTTCTGCCAGATATAATACAAACAACTTTAATGGAGTTGACGGTGTAGCGTTGTGATAAAGGTAGCTCGCACCGCCTCAGCGCCTTGGCTGATGAGTTGCCACTCGACCTCCACCATGGTCGGCAGTTTGATTTGTATGGCACAGATGGGATTCTTTTCAACCAATCAAAGGTCTTTATTTAAAAAGCCGTTAATTGGGTTAAACTAATTTTATTACCAATCAATTTCAGCATAAAAGCAATTTCGTCATATTACTCGACAATTGCCAGTCGCGGGCACAATCATTGTTGCCAGTCGCGGGCACGATCCGGGATCAGTAGAACCATACGGATTTGATGATAAGCAGACTGATGTGTTGCCCTTGATTAAAGCCATTTATTTGCCCGTCTTCAAGCGTTGGGGCACTTTCTTTGAGTACGCTCCAACGATGGCTTCGCGCTGTTCATTGACGTGGGCCTCCCTCACTTCGGCTTTTACTCCAAAACCGACAAGCGGTTGTCCCGACCAGTTCAGCATCGATCTGGTACCTCTTCCGGCCTACAGAACCAACAAACCATGGTATTGTCGCGATATTCTCTCCTCAAATTATTCATTTTGAGTATTTTACTTCTTGTGATGGGAACCGTTGATGTCGTTGGAAAAGCGGCGGTGGCCGAGGTTGACATTGACGATGATGTGGGAAGGAATGTTGTTGAAATCGTTCAGGCACGTGGATACTTCGTCGAAACTCACAAAGTGGTTACTGCGGACGACTACGTTTTGACCATGTATCGCTTGCCGAAGACGTACGAGGAAAGTCAAGCAGGAGCTGAACCTACTGCTGCCAAACCGGTCGCCTTACTGCAGCACGGTTTACTGGATAGCAGCTTTACGTTTGTCAACAATTTCCGCAACCAAAGCTTAGCTTTCGTTTTGGCGGATGCAGGATATGACGTTTGGCTCGGCAATAACCGCGGAACGACCTGGTCTCGGGAACATTTAACCTACACTGAAGACGACGATGAATTCTGGGAATTCAGTTGGGAGGATATGGGCAAGTATGACCTTCCGGCAGAAATCGAGTACGCACTGAATAAATCGGAAAGCACAACATTGAGTTTCGTGGGTCATTCCGAGGGAACCACACAGGCATTTGTGGGTTTCTCCCTCGACCAACAACTCGCAAGAAAGGTATCTTACTTCGCAGCGTTGGCCCCGGTCGCTTGGACTGGACACCTGACAGCGAAAATCTTCAAGGGAATGGCGGACGTTCATCTCGATAAAGTGTTTCAGGCTTTTGGTATCTCGGAATTCTCTGCTAAAAGCAAGTTTCTTCAAGAAATGCTAGCTGGCTTTGCCTGTACCGTAGCCGATGAACTTTGCGCCTCAGCGATCGCCCTTGTTGCAGGTCCATCGGTCAGTACGAATACTTCACGCTTACCAGTTTACATTTCGCAAACACCGGCAGGTACCTCAGTTAAGAACATGGCCCATTACGCACAAAACATTCGTGACGACACTTTTGCGCCGTATGACTACGGCTGCAAGTGCAAGCGGGACTTTGGTATTGACAAGTGCTCCGAGAACAAGTGCGAGAACAAGAAAGTGTACGGAAGCTTCGACCCGCCGGCGTTCCCTATCGAAAAAATGGTGTTTCCAAGAACAGGTCTCTTTATCGGATCTGCAGACACCATTGCGACGGCAACGGATATCGAGAAACTCCGCGACGCGCTTCCGTCGGGTACTATCGTCCACGAACTTGCAGTTAAGGAGTACAGCCATTTGGATCTTGTATGGGCGTACAATGCCAACGAAAAGATATACGAGGACTTGCTCGCACAGCTGGAAGAGCACCAGGGTGTTGGATATACAACCATACCGGAACCGACAGATTCCGGTAGCGTTGGATCACTGACAGATGACGTTATCGAGTCAAGGACTTCGCTCTCATTCCGCCAACTAGATTAGATAAATTCTGCGCTGATAGTAACGTCACCGCAGATGTGAATACGATCGTGAATAAATCGTCAACTGTTTCTTTGAAAACAATAGATTAGTCATTATATGCTGCATTTCTAATGAGTTTCTATTTTTTTTTTTCATGCTGTAAAAATACCTGAAATGCGTGAGAGCATGCACTTCTTGCTTCGAAAAATAGCAACAGAACCGCAGTTCACTCAGTCCTGTATTTGCACGGCACATAACAGCAGCAATATGAAGTCAAACCAAGTGGCAAATGCACCACCAGGGTCTGTATCGGCTGATCTCGAGAATGGCTGGGTAAGACAAGACTCTACACAAGTGTCCAGCAATGAAGGTGCCCAGCAGTATGCCAGCGTCGTACCGTTTTCAGATGACACACCGCTGATGACAGGAAGCTGGCTAGTCGGTCTCGGTGGTTGCTGTACCGATCTCATCCCAAACTGTTGCATGGTGACGTTCTGCCCGTGCATTTCGCTGGCCCAAATATCCAAGCGACTGGGTGTCACCTCCTACGGCTTCGGATTGCTCCTGAGCTTTTTATTCGGCTGCTTTTTGTCGATATGCTTGCCATTCTGGATTTGTCACTTGCGCTCAGTTACGCGACAGAGGTTCCAGATTCCTGGAAATTGTTGTAAAGACTACTGTACAGCGTGCTGCTGTCCGTGCTGCGCAATCGCCCAAATGGCGACTCGAACTGGAAGCTATACACCCGGTACCTGTAGTTTTAGCTCCCGTGACACCCTACCACCGTACAATGTTTAGGTGACTTATACAACATAGTAAGGGGGCTACATAGTAAACGACAAGAAAGATGAACGTTCCATTGTTTAAACTTCGCTACACATCGATGTCAGGTTGATGGGCTGTACTCAGTAGCTTTTACCTTCGTAGAGCTGGATCTGCGCAATGAGATCGTCGTAGACGTGTTCACGAGCGTTATGCGCCCACGTGTAATCAATATGTCCAAAGTCAATGGTCTTATCGTACACGATAGCGCCATCCGGTAATCCAGCACGCAGCTTGTCGATGTCTGCCTTCCTGGCCAAAGTATCTTGTGCACCGTTGTAGAATCCCGTACGCGGATACACCATCTTATGAATGGGGTATGCCGGTGGGTCGAAACTGCCGTACTTGGCCTTGTTCTCGCAGATTAAAGTCGAGCATAGACCAATACCCAAAATACGGAGGCAACTGCATCCGTAGTCGTACGCAGCGAAGGTATTGTCGCGGATACCTTGAGCATAGTGAGCCATATTCTTGACTGAGCTACCGGCAGGCGTTTGAGTCACGTATACGTGTACACGCGAAGCGTTGATGTTGTTCGAGGGCCCACCGATCAAGTCTATGAAGCCGTCGCACACGACACCTGCCCAGGCGCAGGCATACTTGCCCAATACGTTTTGAAGGACGGGGTTGTTCGGACTGAACTCGTTCACTCCAAAGTGTTGGAACCACGAGTCCACGTAGGTTTTTGCTAGAGTGACAAGGATCGGAGATGTAGCAGCTCCCGTCCAAGCAACGGGTGTGAACGCTCCGAAGTAGGACACTACCTTGGCGAGCTCCTGGTTGTTGGAAAACCCGACGAACGCCTGTGTGGTCCCTTGCGAATGGCCGATATAGCTAAGCGTCGATCGTCCGGATACACTCAGAGCGTAGTTGATCATAGCGGGGAGATCGTAGTTTCCCATATCCTCCCATGTGAAGTCCCAGAACTCGTCGTCGGCTGAGGTGTAGTCCAAATGCTGCTTCGACCACGTGTTACCTCGGTTGTTACCCAGCCAGACGTCATAGCCGAGATCAGCAAGGATGAACGCTAAGCTCTGGTTGCGGTAGTTCAGGACCCATGTGTACGAACTGTCCAGCAGACCGTGTTGCATGTAGACCACCGGCTTGTTAGCTGCAGCCGCAGAGCCCGTTTGGGTTTCGGCGTAGCTTTTGGGGATACGGTGCATCGTGAGCACATAGCGGTCTGCAGTCGTGACCTTGTGCGTCTCGACGGCGTATCCTCGGGCTTGAATGATTTGCACGATATTGAGACCGGCATCTGGGTCAACGGCAGCCTCCTCCTTGGCAACAGTTGCGTGCAAGACGACGAAGGTGGTGAACAGCACCAACAGGATAGTATTCGATACCATGGTCGCTTGGGTCTTGAACTTGTGGGTCTTGTCCAGGAGATCGCAAATTGGAGAATGAACGAAGTTGTCGAACACCAAAGCATTTGAGCTCTTCGTGCTGGTGGAGGTGATGAACTAGAATTTCGTTCGGGCAATGAAGGATGTGCCTCCCGGACCAGTCCTTCAACGTAGCACTTCGACTAGAAAAACCACTTTTCTAGTCGAGTGCTACTTTCGCAACGTTGAAGCGGGCAAGCCTGGCAATACCCGATTGATATTCAACACGGTGAAATGACGCACCATGATGTTCAAGACTTGTTTCAAGTCTAACAGCGTGATGTCGTCACCTAAATGGACCAGATTCTTAGGCAACTCCATTCAAAAAAGCCGTGCAGCTAGTACGTAGACTTTAGAAGGACTACACGTAGTTGTACTATTTCCTTAATAATGGCAGCTCATGATCTGGCGACGGACTAATACAACAATGATATCAACTGCTACAACTTTCTTCATACTACGTAGTACTCACGTATTTGAGTGCATGCCAGCAGCGGATTGATGTCCACATTATACATGCTTCCACTAGTACCCGACATCGACGTACTTGGCAATCTGAGCGAGCAGGTCTTGGTAGATGAGTTCGTTGGCATTATAGCCCCAAGTGAAGTCCAGGTGGTTATACTCGACGCTTTGGTCGGTGAGAATCGTTGCGCTCGTGAGACCAGCGCGAAGTTGAGCAATATCAGTGCTGGTGGCCAACCAGTCATCGGTGCCCGTGTAGAACCCCATGCGTGGATACGTCACGGCTCCGAGATTAAAAGCAGGTGGGTCAAACGCGCCATACACTTCCTTATTCTTGCAAATTAGCTTGGAACACAAGGCCAAACCCAGCGCTCGCACACAACTGCAGCCGTAGTCGTAGTACCGGAACGTATTGTCACGAATGCCTTGTGCAAAGTGAGCCATATTCTTCACCGACGTACCCGCAGGCGTTTGTGAGATGTACACTTGCAAACGCGTAGTGTTCACATTGTCTGAAGGTCCTGTAAGTGCGTTGATGATCGAGCCACAAGCCTGGTCGACAAATGCACACGCATACTTAGCTAGAATGCCCTGGATCAGCCAGTTGGTCTCCCAGAAGGGACCAACCCCTAGAATGGTGAACAGGACGTCCAGGTATGAGTCCGCCATGAGTTCAAAGATCGGTGAAGTGATGTGGCCAAGGTACGCGACGGGAGCAAGCGCACCGAAGTAGGACACTTTCTTAGCCAGCTCTTGGTTGACTGAGAACCCGGCGAACGCTTGCATTGTTCCCTCCGAATGCCCCACGTAGCTTAGTGTCGAGTGCCCTGTCGAGTTCAACACGTAGTTGATCATCGCGGGCATGTCGTACAATGCCATCTCCTGCCACGAGAACGCCCAGTACGCATCGTCGTCGGTCGTATACGTCACGTGCTGGTTCGACCAGGTTGTGCCGCGGTTATTGCCCAGCCAGACGTCGTAGCCGGCGTCGGCCAGGACGAACGCCAGACTTTGGTTGCGGAAGTTGCACACGTAGGTAAAGCTGCTGTCGAGCAGGCCGTGGATCAAGTATACTGCCGGTTTGTTGGCCATGGCCGTGGCGTTCAGTTGGCTCTCCGTGTACGTCTTGGGTAGGCGGTACATGGTCAAAATGTAGTTGTCCGCGGTCGTGACCTTGTGCTCCTCGACGTCGTAGCCGCGCGCTTTGACGATCTCCATGACTGTGAGACCATCGTCCGGGTCGATGTAGGCTTCGGCCACCTCTTGTTCGGCACGTACGGGCGTCGGAGCGAACAGTACGCACAAAGCAAGCAACAGGGTCAAGCCGCGAGGAATCGCCATGGTGATACACAAAGTTGTTTGTGTGGAGCGTAGCAAATTGCGTTTTGATCGGCAAGAATACGGTGGGAATGAAAAGCTCTTTTTCGCGGTGAATCACCAGTGGTGATGCATGCTGCAAATCTCATCTTTACAGCGATCAGGTGGCGCGCAGTTTATCCAGACGCTTGGATACCTGTCAGCTGGTGGCGGACAGAGACCTCGAAAGCACGTGTGCAATGTCGTGTACGACGTAGTACATGAACACAGACACAGCATGTCATTTCCAGCATGTTCGACTCGAAGTTGGAGACACAAAGTGATGCAGCACTTTGATGTCATCGCATCGGTGTCTTCTTGGCATCATCTCGGGGTCGTCGCACCGTGCGACTCGCACGATTCACGGCGTCTAATTCAGGATTCCACCAAATTGATGTTCCATCACGGTATCCGTGACTTATGGGCAGAAAACGACCGGCAAGATGGACTCGTCCGCGCAGTTTCGCCAAGCGCATGTTGAAAGCGGCGGAACTTCAGCCATGACAGCAATCTTGACAAATCACCGGCGGTGACGAGGATGTCAAGAAACTCACTTGCTTTTAAGTAAGTGAACTGTGCGTTCACCGTGCTGGCCGACTGCTAGCTGTTTGATCATATTAAAGACTGATGCTTACTTCACAGATACACGGAACGCCGTGAATCAACGAGGTCGCCGACTCTGATGCCTGTCGCGATGACGGGTGTATGCTACTACTCGGTGGCATAGCTATTATAATATGAGAGCTTTCGAATCTAGACGGCAATTCGCGCAGTTTCATTTCGACTCGAAATTCCATTTGCCGATGTAATCATCGAGCCGCATAATCATCCAGTTTCCACGATCTTGAAGCGACGCCCGTACAAAAGATATCGCGTACTTCATCAACTCGTGCTTGCCTGCGAGATAAAGCAAAATGCCGCTAGTGCCTCGATACACGTGGGAGGAAGACGCCTCCAGCCTCGCGCTGGAGCTACATCTACCAGGGACAGCGCTGCGAACTATTGACATTTATGGTGAGACTAGCTCTTTGGTTCTTTGGAGTTTTGTAGCTTACTGAACGGACTCGTTTGCTAAATAGTAAGCGACTTGGTCGTTAAGGTCAACGCTGCGCCATACGTGCTGCTACTAGATCTGCAGGATGCCGTGGATGACGCGTCTGCCGTTGTAAAAAACATCCCAGCGTCGAATTTGCTTCGGATCTCCTTGAAAAAGCAAGAGAGTCGAATGTGGAAACAACTGCAGTAGCAAGGCACGAAAGCAGTTCTAAGAGAGCGCCGGGACGCGTCCATGGACCGGAAAAGAGCCAGCGAGACTGCGCTGGGTGAGAAGAGGAAGGAGAAGAAGCACCAGGACGAAAAAGAGACTTTGCGGGCGCAAATGGCTGTCGACGATACGAATCGTCAAATTCTGACCGACCTCAAAGCGGAGGAGAAAGAGCGTGAGGAGGTACAAACCTCCTGCTTATAAATCTGAAGAACTGATGGCTAATCGCTCGTTTATGCTGATAGCGGAGCTTGTACGAGTCATTCCGAGATCTCCAAGTTCAGAAGCAAAAGAAGAGAATAAAAGATCGAGATGATGTCTCAAGTAGCAATCAGGAAGACGTTCACGCACCTGGTATCAAGACCCTGCAGAAGCCTGAGAACTCGTTGCCAATCAGTGCTAAATCAAAGAAGAAAGTGTCATTTGCTATGCCGCACAAGGGTGAAGACTCGAGAGACAACCAAGAAGACGAAATCATCGAGTTGACAGAAGACGGCAGCTTCGACATTTCAAACGCTACAAAATCTAAAGCGCAAGTTGATCAGCAGAGCACTATCACAGGTAATCAGCGCGCAGAGTCCTGCAGCTCACATGAAATCTCTGGAGATGAAGCAATTCAAGTGGACACTGAAGATGCCACTCCCGAGATCGAATTGCCTCCTCCCCGACAGTGTGTACAGTCAGAAATCCGCTTCACGCCTCGTGTCTTCCCAACGCCTTCACGAGAATCCAAAGCTGCAGAGGAGGAGGACTGGTTGCTGAAAAATCGCAAGCACATCAACAAACACCAGGGTCTTAATCGCACATCGGAGTACGACATCAGCGAAACTGATCGTACGTATCTGGCAGAACTTCATGCTAAGCACTTGCTCATTGTTTAACTGTGATTTTTTTCCGTACAGCTATGTGGTTGAAAGCCAAGGGGGACGACTTTTTCCGTTCAAAAGATTATCGGGGTGCCACAAACGCATACGCTGAAGCCATTTCGGCAGCACCCAGTGACAACACGGACCTAATTGCCAAATGCCTGTCAAACCGAGCAGCTTGTCTGCTTCAACTTGGCGAGTTCGAGGTACCTTGTTATCGTTTAAGCTGCCTAATAAGGAGACCTATCGACCTGAACAATACTTTTTGTTACTCCAGGAGTGTATCAGCGATTGTTCAAAAGCGCTATCGTATCTGCCGGACACACGCGATAAGGACGAAAACTCAAGCGTACTAAAACATTACCGACTCAAACTAAAGCTGTTTGTACGCCGTGGCACCGCGTACTGCCGAGTTGGCCAGTATGGTCCAGCTAAGGCAGACTACGCTGTCGCGTGCTCTATGGACAAGCAGAATCCGCAGCTTCGAGATGATTTCGTGGAGCTTGTCGCAATGGAAAAGGCCCATGAACTCAAACAGTCCGGCGACAGCATCTTCAGGGAAGGCAAAGACCTTGAAAAGGCCATCCAGGTGTACTCAGACTCGTTGCAATTGAATCCCCTTTCCATCGCCTGCTTGTCCAACCGAGCTGCATGTTATTTGATGCAACATCGTGCCAAGGAGTGTGCTGAAGACTGCTCACAAGCACTAGTATTGCTGCAACAAGACACCAATTCTATGAGCACCTCGGGTCAAGAACATGGACTTGCGTTCTTCTCCTTTAGTCCTGCCGCTGGCTCATCTCAGCGTCGCGCTTGGGTAGTAAAAACACTCGTTCGACGTGGTGCCGCCTACTTATCACTACGCGACTTGGACAAAGGTGCGATCTCGCTTTAAAAGTTGTTGTTTCTAGTCGGAATCTAACTTGCTCAAATTATGTTGTACACGCTAAAGCCGAACAAGACTTTGCAGCAAGTGTCGAGCTGGATCCGTCTAACGAAGCGCTTAAGGCGGATTTGGCTAAAGTTCGGAACGAACGGAAGCAAAACGAGGCTAAGCACGATGAACTCCTTGCCCATCCAACTCCTCTTCAAGCTTAGATGCATTCATCAGAGTGACAATACATTCGCAACCATACAGCTTTGAATTATAGATAAGGTGATTTTTTAGTAGTTTAGAGAAAACCACTAAAAACACTTTTATAGCGTCTAAAGCAACCCGATCGAGAGATTCGGTAGTGCTACATCCAGAGGTTTACTGTTAGTAGCTGATCGACTGCACTGCCCTGCTTCTTCGTCGATTTCATGCTCTTCGCGTACTGCTAATAGACTGTCAAGTTTCCATACAGGTGTGACTTTCGCCTGCGGAGAAGGGGACGAACGTGCGCCAGCCAGAGAAGCGGTGACGACTTGAGCACAGTACGCAAGAAGACTGCCGGCACTTCGCTTTCGTACTCTGCGTGGTGAGGCGTCAACAGGAGGCAGTCCGTCTAGAACAACTTCTGTCCCACCTGATGGTTTAGTCAGACTACCTTCTGCTGGCGGTAGTACCGGGTATCCGACGTAGTTAAAACCTTTTGCCGGTAGACTTTTAGCACGGTTTCGCCCAGGTGGAGGTGGGGGTACGGGGTTTACGTTGTTATCGATCAGAATCTTGTATGAATCTGGCCACTGCAACGGACCCTGGTTCAGTGAGAATTTGTTCGAAGCAGTCGGCGATTCTTCACATTTCGAAACGTTCGTAGCGAGATTCGCTCCACTTGTCCAAAGCTTGTACGACGACTCTGAGCATGGTGTCATCCTCAATTCGAGATCTTGCGCCACAGGTTTGGCATTGCGAAGTGAGCGCTCGCGCTGAGCTGCTCGCTGCACTTGACGCATCCATTTCGTGATGCGGTTCAAAATTGTACGCACTTTGCGTGCATTTTCTGCTGCCGCTTGCTGTTCGTGAAGTACAGTCTGCAGTTGCGATCTCAAACGCTGCTCTATCTGCCTGTGCGTTGCGATAGTTTGCTGCAGCTTTGTCTCTAACTTCTCAACGCTCCGAGCGTGCTCCTTCTCCATCTGCGTCAAACGGCGACTTAACGTAGCGTTCTCGGTCCGTAAGTGCCGTAGTTCGTCTCTATCTAGAGACTTGCCAAGGGTTTCACACTTTCGAAGGGGAATTTTCACGTCGTTGTGGTCGTGACGAGCATTGTCAACCGCACTCGATCCATCCTCTTCCTGATTGTTGGCTTCTTGCTCGTCTTCCCAGTTCGGTACAGCCTTAGCTTTGCCGATGATGTTTTCCTTGGCCGCTGAATTCAGCTTGTCATGCCATGCCACATCTGATAGAAGAGATGCTACTGTTGGAGTGGCAGCGTGACGAGTATTGTGTTCTACCATCAGTCGAAGGATTGGGCTTTTACGTACACTGCAAATACAAGAATGTGCTTATGTATCTCCGTCGCAATTTCAATGCAGCGGATAAGACACTCCTGCGCGTGACATCTACAAGATCCAAAATGCCGTTTGATGCAAAAATGTACAGCAGCCCAACGCAACCAGAGCTACCGCTAAGATCGAGAACGTCCTGGAAATAGCTACCTTCGATCAACGCCAACACGTCAAACCAGCAGTTGGGCATCTAACACTTTTTCGATGTCTGAAACTCGAATGGCGCGGCGCCATTGGCGGCCCGTCCAACGTTACGTCGGATCTGCATTGTTGAAGTTGGGCGTTGTGTGCATTTTGCTCATCGCGTTGTAATGCTCAGCTTACACCAAGAGCTTACGCCAAAATGCCATCTTTAACAAGCTGGAATTTCATTCGAGGCGGTGTGGTGACTGCAACTGGCTCGAGCTCGAATAGCGCGCGGCTCGCAGTGTTGAGTCCACGCCGATGCTAAAGAACTGTTACTTTTCAACGGTTTTGCCAGTCGCCGGTCTCTTAGAATGCACAATTTGCGGACATTTCTACATCGGACATGAACGCCCATACTGCTACTGTACATGCACAAATAGGGGTCATGCACTGCAAGCACTACGCCAGGCATTTGCTTGACGCAGAGAGCGAGGGAAGAGGGCCAAGACAAATCGCTTCCAGTCCGAACCGATCCTCCGAGTAAGTCGCGCGACAGCTGTTGAACTCCTAAAAATTGTCGTTACATTGTATCGCAATAAAGAGACCTTCTCTCGTCTCCCATTGGTCCGTTCGCTACAATAACCTGTTCAATTCGATGAAATATCGACTTCTTCGGGTAATGTAGCATGCCCTCCATGCAGAGACGCTACATGGCGGACCGGGAGCAATCACCGCGGACCTGCTGGCCTGCTCGGCTCCTAGCGCTTCATCACTCGCTCATCCCTCATCAAGCACTTCTTTTCCGTCTGTCGAGTCCGTTGCAATGCCCCCAATGCTCAACAGCAGCTCCATCCACGCGCACATGTCGCCGCCGTCATCTCCACGAGTGCGCAAGCTCGACGTTGTGGACCTGAACGCCGGCAGTCGTGATATGAGCCAACGGGACCTTGGCCACGTTATTCTCGACACGCTGCAGCAGCGCGTGACCATCGCATCGCTGCGCTCGCTCGTCAGCTGCACTGGGATCGGCGAGACGGAGCCGTTCAATCTGCCGCCGCAGCACCGAATGCTCGCGCGTATGAAGACAAACGCCAACTATTTCTTGACCAACTATCTGCTGCTCATGGTCGGCGTCTTCGCCTTCTTGTTGTGGGTTTTGTCATTGAATAATTGCAATTCCAATTGGGAAGCTGACTTGTTATTTGTTGCAGGTTGTTCTTCCACCCGGTTCAGCTGCTGGTGTGCATCATTGTGGGCTACGGATGGCACATATTTCTCACTAAGAAGGAGATCCCGACCGACAGGTTTGAAGTCTTGGGTCGACGACTCAGCGAGCAAGATATTCTGCTTGCAGCAACAGGATGTGGGTTTGATGTACGAAGGTTCCGGTGGTGAGTTTAATACTGATAGATTTGATGTTGCATCTTCTGCAGCGACGATGGTGTTTCTGCTCTTCTTCGTGCTGCCTACCGTCATCTTCGCGCTCTCTGTCTCGTACGTTATAGTTTGCAGCCCTACAATTGGTTCCTTGCCGTCACTAACATTGTTGCTGCATTTTTAGGTCACTGGCTAGTGCTACGCACGCTTTGCTCCGCAATAACCGACTCAAAGATGACTCGCTCAATGCACGGCAAGGCCCAGCGACGTCATCCGACGTCGATGAGCTCGCGTAAAACATCTACCGTAGTATTCATGAAATGCATTGGGACATTTCGTCTGTATCTTCGTTACCAGACGCGTTTATTAATCCAGAAATACGTTCATATTTGTCCACCTGATCACTCAAGTCGCTTCTTGACGAATCTGACTGTATCACCCTGTTCATTGTAGCCCATTTGTCGAGTGTGCATCAGAACATTCGCCAGTACAGGAATCTTAAACACCAGAAACGGGAGCGAGAAGAGTCCATAGGCAGTTCGAATCCAGTAAAACAACGCTTGGCGTTGCCATGATTCGAATGGCAGCCAGAGCACAAGACCAGCGAGGGCCATAATGATGATGAAAGATACCGTTTCGTACCCGCAAAACTTCATAAGGTAGCCTCCACGATCCAGATGCACTTCGTTGCCAAAGGCATCGTGAAACACACGACGTTCCCGCATCTCCATGGACTTTGTCCGGTATAGCCCAACTTCTTGAGGACGTACAGTATACGGCAAACGGAAGAACGCTGCCCAAACCAGAATAATCTGAAGTACGAAGAAGCATACCGTTCCTTCACTCAGAGCAGGGCCACTTCCACTTTGACAAGCCAGCATGGAGCCTTGCACCACACATTTCACGTACATAAAGACCCCAAGCATCATGTGCATGATACCAAGCGTAATAAACTGTGCAGCTTTGAATCCCACAATGAACTGACACAACTGATGCTCGTTCGTCTTGTCCTTGATGATAAACAGGAAGATCCACCACAACTGGCCCACCACGGGCAAAATACCCACACTCGTATACGCGATCCACCATGGGTCCTTGAATGATCTCCAGATCGTCTTGTCATGAGGGAACAAATGATGCAGAATATGTCCGCGAACACGACGATAAAGACCAAATCTTCGGTTCGTGACTGCGACACCAACTCCTTCACTTCCGCTTAGTGGTACACTGCCATCTTCACTTTTCTTCGCCTTAACCGCTTTTTCCTCAGCTGTTGTTGAATTTTGCCCGAAAAGCTCCCGTGTCTTCCTAAAAATCTCCATCTTGACGTCCGGCATAAATTGCTCAATACCAATGTCAATATTCGTCTACAACACAGCCGCAATATTAATACTTAGTCCATTTAAACACCCGTTTAAACCCAACACGAACCTTCAGATAGCTCGGCATATCTGGGTCCTTCAGTGTATGCTTCAACCTCGCGGCTACGATATCCAACGCCCTCTCCAGCACTTTCCTCACTGTGCGGTGCATGGCCAATTGCACTTCGTCTTTCGTATCTTTTGCGATATGGTTCAATCTCTTTCCAGTGGACATGATCATCGTGCTCGTACTGCCCACGATGTCGCTCCACGCTGTAGGCTGCTGATCGGCTGCATTCGCTGCTTTCTCCGCTGCGTCTAGCACTTGCTGTTCCGGGAAAATGTCCGGGAACACGCGCTTGTACTCCTGTGCGAAGAGCTGTACGTCCCTGACCACCAGTTCCGTGTTGTTTTCCTGATCTACGTCCATTAAGTCGCTGCTACCGATACTTAGTCGTTTCTGTAGCTTCCTGTTGGTCAAATTACGCCAGAATCGCCGCATTTCCAGCCTCTGCTGGGCAGATAACTGCGGCATGTTCTCCATGGCCTGAAAGAAGAGCTCAGTGCTCACAGGACGCTCCCCTGACTCAAGTTCCTGCTCCCCCATCTCCTCACGCTCCTGAAGGAACGAGAACACAAACACGCCAGCCGACATGGCCACCGCCCCGTACAGCAACCGCGTGCGCGCCAGAGACTCCAGCATCGCACTTTGGTCTTGTAAGCTTGATCGCTTCAACCAAAGACTTACACCTGATGTATTCTATCTACACCAAAAGATGTTCTCATATTCATAAATTGTGTGCCGCACACATTTTTAATTTTGGCTCATAATTGAAGAAGCATGGCCGAGTATGCGCAGGACGTTGCGGAGGCGGAGGATCTGGTGTCGCGCGCGACGGCCGAGTACCTGGCTGGGCCTGAGTGGGCGCTGAACATTGCACTATGCGACTGCGCCAACGCACACCACGCTGTGTGCGACGACATCGTGCGTTTCTTGCAGCGCCGACTACAGAGTGACAACCCCAAGGTTGCGCTATTGACGTTGGTGCTGACAGAGACGTTAGTAAAGAACGGACCGCCCGCTATTCACAGTCAAATTGGCTCCAGACTCTTCTTGAATCAGGTAGCAGCGCTCTCGGACGGTAGTTTGGGCGTGGACGTGCAGAACCAAGCACTTTTGCTGATCCGCCAATGGGCGGACGCCTTCAAAGGCAGCGAGTTGCACGCCTTCCAGGACGTTTATAGACAACTCAAGATGCGGGGCGTTGCCTTCCCTGAGATCGAGAATGATGTCCCTATCTTCACTCCGCCTTCTTCGGCCTCTAAGGAGGAGAACTATTCAGGTTCTGCTCCGATGCGACGCACAAGAGAGCAGCAGTTGGAGAAACTGCACGCAGATCTGAAGGTGGTACAGGAGAAGATTAAGTTGCTAAGAGATCTTCATAACCGTGGCCAAACTGGCGAGCAGCTGGAAGATGTTCTGGACTTCTTACGGCAATGCCAGCCCAGGATGAACACACTCATTGAAGGAGGCATTATGGGCAAGATCGACGAGCGCACCTTGGAAGAATGTCTTAACGTATGTCAAAGATACTGGCGATGAGGTGGTTTTGCTGAGATCTTTTATTGTCGTGTGGAAAACAGGTGAATGATATTTTAATGAAGACGCTGGAGGAATGCAGTAAGACCAAGATGCAAGACATGATGACGTTTGATTCGCCACCAGGTGCGAATCGCACGGCGGGATTGCAGCAAGATATGGGCGAGCTGAACTTGAACGGAGGAGGTAAGGCATCCGGTTCTGCGGCACCAGCTTCACGACCAGTGACTTCTGCTCGCTCGACTCTAACGACGTTAAATGATGGTATGTTGTAGGGACTGTGTTGTGACGACAACTTAAAAGTGCGGGTACTAAAACCTACGCCTCAGACTTTGACAGTTTTCTTAGCAAAACATCACCGCAGTAGTGACAGCTATGGTTCATTAAAACAAGAGAATCAAGGCTTCAAGCTGCACGAATAAAGCGGACTTTATTGGTTTAATGCATGTTGTATGCTGTTCAATTGATGGACATGTCTTTGGTTGTAGCCTTCGGTGCTCGCGTCAGGATCCATTCTTTTTCTTGCTCAGTAGGTTCTCGCGTTTTCGACGGATCATTATAAGCTGATACTAGGCCTGTTGAAGGTGTGTAAATACCGTTACCTGCGTCGAATGATCCGAGCGGCACCACACGATGGACGCCGGTGTCAAAGTAGTTGAGCTCTCCAGCCGGTAAGATGCCTCGAGGAGATACTGACTCCGAGTAGTATTGTCGATTAACGTCTGTGCAGTACGTCCAGTTGGCTGGTGCGTATTCAAGACCATCCGAGAAGGTGAAGGTGCCTTCAACTTGCTGCGAAGTATTCAAGAAGTAGCAAAGATCAGCTTTTTGCGTAGTACATTCAGCACTCTTCTTTAAGCTCTGTCCTTACCTTGCCACACGCCCATTCTCCTTCCAGCTTCCCTTCCGGGAAGTACAGTGTCCCGTGACCATGAAACTCACCGTTCTGGAATTCGCCTTCGTATCGATTGCCGTCAGGAAGGTTCAGCACACCTGAGCCATGATACCGTCCAAACTCCATACTGCCTTCGTACTGGACGAACATCGCGTTAGTCAATGAGCTGAGGCCATTTGTTGGGGTTTCTACAGTCTGATACCTTGGATTGACTGTACTCCATGATTTCTAGTATCGAAAGAAAAATGTGGTAATGAAAGGACACGATTCGAACAAGATTATCCTGCTTTTATCGTTCCCACTATTTTTACTTCAGCATGTCCGAATTCAGATCGAGATTTTTCTTTTGCCAATTAGTATTAATAAACTATTGATGAATCTGCTCGCGGAATGATCCCTTTCGAGTTGTACTCAGTATTGCAACGACACCACGATGTGATCGCAGCGGTCTTCAAACTGATGACGGTGAGGAGATGTTCGACTGACTAAGAGCGTCAACTCGGACGTGAAGCGCTCGTGAAAGCTGCCATGACAAACAGCAGGAGTCTTGTGATCAGACTCTGATCGGGTCACTTTGTCACGATGAATCCCGCTTTTGTAACAACTTCAAACTGCTTATCATAAGCTTCAAGGATGCGAATGCACTACGTGTAACTTAGTAGTGCTGCTAAATGTACAAGCATCGAGAAACCAAAGTATCCATCACCAGAACTATACGCCAACAGAAGCTTGCCCGCCTAACATAGCCACTCACTCAGCGATTGCAGCGGTCCCGTTGGGATGATCGACTGTCCGTCCGAGGTTACTACAATATGAAGCTAGCATGTTCGCGTGCCGGTCGAGTGTATTGAGGACAACAGCAGCTCCGAAGCTATTAGAGACTCACGTCTTCACGCCGCTCCATCAGCCACTAAGGTCTCTATTCGCTCGCTCATTCTGCAATTGGTATCGCGTCCAATAAGTGATACACTTCACTGCCACCTCGCAAGATGCCGTCACCTCGCTTTCTGCACTTGATGCTAGGCGTTGGGCTACTGCTCAGCGTTTTACCATCGTGTTTGCCGAAGATCAAGTAGTTGAAGCTACAGTGGACCCGGATGTGGGCAAGACTGTTGTCGAGATCATCGAGACCCGGGGCTACGAGGTTGAGACGCACAAGGTCACCACCTCGGACGGATATATCCTCACCATGTATCGCCTCCCCAAGACTTACGACGAGAGTCAATCGGGCTCGGACGCCGCTGCCAATAAACCCGCTGTTCAACTGCAGCACGGACTGCTGGATAGTAGCTTCACGTTCGTATCGAACTTCCGGAACCAGAGTCTGGCTTACGTTCTCGCAGACGCGGGCTACGACGTGTGGCTTGGCAACAACCGCGGCACAACATGGTCGAGTGAACACACGACGTTGACCACAGACGATGATGTCTACTGGGCGTTCTCGTGGGAGGACATGGGTCTATACGATTTACCGGCTATGATCAACTATGTTCTAAACACCACGGGGCGTTCTACCTTGAGCTACATAGGTCACTCCGAGGGCACAACTCAAGCTTTCGTTGGGTTCTCAGAGAACCAAGAGGTAGCAAAATCCGTTGACTACTTTGGTGCTCTCGCTCCTGTTGCTTGGACTGGTCATGCGACTGCCGAGCTCTTCGTGGCGTTGGCACAGCTGAAAGTCGATGTCCTCTTCCTTGACCTAGGCTTCACGAGCTTCTTGCCACACACCGAGCTGCTGAAGACCCTACTGTCCGACGTTGTGTGCACCAATCTGGAAGAGTTTTGTGAGTCTGCTATGGACCTCATCGCTGGACCATCGGACAACCTCAACGCCACCCGCATCCCCGTGTACCTCTCGCAAACCCCGGCTGGCACCTCCACCCAAAACATGGCACACTACGCCCAAGGTATCCGTGACAACACCTTCGCTAAATACGACTACGGTTGCAGTTGTCTCGAAGCATTGGGCATCGGTCTCTGCTCGTCGCTCATCTGTAAGAACAAGGCCAAGTACGGCTCCTTCGCTCCGCCAGCGTTCCCCATAGGAAACATGGTCTATCCTCGTACGGGCTTCTACATCGGAGCAACCGACACGTTTGCGACGTCCACGGACATTGAGCAACTCCGCTCAGGACTTCCCAACGGCACCATTGTGTACGAGCAAACTATCGACGCGTTCTCGCATCTGGACTTCACCTGGGCCGTGAACGCCAACGAGCTCGTGTACCAAAATCTACTGGTGCAACTCAGCAAATACGCTGGTGTGGGGTACTAGGGACGACACGAAAGAGGTTGCTACGTTGTTGTGTAGGTGACCAAGCGTTGAGGACAAGGAGCATCGCCCTGCTCCATCTGAGAACCTGCTGTTGATGTTGAAGTGATTCTTTTTTGATTTGCAACCATTCTAAAAATCTAGGGATTCTAAATCTAAGAACTGGCGCAGATATTTGGTATCGCGTGTATTTGTTCCTACTATACGTTTTTTATGATCCTTCAGCCTCTCCTAATGTGAGGCCTCGGGCTAAATGGTTTCTTACTAAATAACAAAGCTGTGGCAGTGGTCTGGTAACTTCCAGCGCTATGCTGGGTACATGAAGACAAGAGATTACGTTGGCAGGGTTACCCTTTACCAGCCAACAGTCATCGAGCCGACATCTTCATCCGAGTCGTCCTCCTGATCCATCAGAGTCAATGCCTCACGGAATACCTCGACAGCCTTGTCGTGCTCGCCCTTGGAGTGCAAAATCTTGCCCAACATTGACAGCGACGCGTAGTTCTTGGGGGTAAGAGCCAATGCACGTCGGATAGCGATCTCTGCGTCGTAAAACTCGCCAGCGCCGTGAAGAGCACGAGCCAGGTTGATCCACACGTCCACATCCTTACGGTTAGCCTCCACGGACTTGCGGAACTCCACGACAGCGCTGGTGTACTCGCCACGGTCGAGGAATACTTGACCCAGGTAGTTGCACGTTTCAGCCACGTTCACTTCCTTGTCCTCAATCAATTCGATGTTCTTTTCGACCTCCACCGTCACCTGTTTGTGTCTGCCTTGCATGAAACTCTTGGTGAAGTCCGGTGCCTTGTTGCTATTGTTGTGGTTCTCGTCGTCTTCATCATCGTCGAACGAGATGCGGTTAATATCAATGATCCGGTTGTTGCGCAGCTCAGCCACGTTGGCGTCCACTGCGTTGCGTTCCTTCTTGGCTTCAGCAGCCAATCGGGTGGCGTCTTCCAGCTTCTTTTCAATACGAGACTTGGCCAACGTCAGCTCCTGCACATGGGACTCCAGTTCACGCACTTGTTCCTGCATATCCTGATACTTCTCGGTTGATTCTACATCTGTCCAAGCACGAGGACGGCCACGCGAGTCGTCCTCGAACGGCAGGTTGGTCGTAAGTGTGGGATCACGACCGTCGTTGTTATCTGTAGAGCTTTTATCACCCAAAGTGACACGACGCGGTGTGTGTGCCGTCTGGAAGTATTTGTCGGCATCTGAGGGACTCTGGAACGCCGAGTCACGGCTGCTTGAAGACGCAGTGGTCATCGAGATTGTGCTGTTGATGGAGCGCAGCGGCGGCCGGCCTGTCTTTCCTGGGAGCGGCGTGGACTCCTGTCGCGTCATGTTGGGCTCCATAGGCGGCAAGCCGCTGTGACGTCCGTGGCCGTACATGTTGACTACAGCTGAGGGCGCGCCATTCTCTCGCAGATCATCGTAGCATAAAATACATACGCGCTGTGGCGTCCTGAGTCCCAAGTGGTGCAGCGGCAGCCGCTTGTTCGAGTGTGTGCTACACACCGACTCGCCGCAAGAGCGACAGTGATGACGCGTCTTGAAGTAGCTAAATTTCAGTTGACAAATGTTGCAGCGTTTGTCCAGTCGCCAACGCGGGGGCAGCGGGACACCGGCCAGTCCGTCGGGTAGACGTAGAGCGGTCACTGCAGTTCTGTTGCTAGCCCATTCGTCGTCCAATGCGGCGCCTCCGCGACCACTTCCCAGTGCTGTTGGCAGACTCCTGAAGCTGCTGACACTGGAGGTATCATCTGCCGGAAGGGGGAAGCCTCCAGGCTGGTTCAAGAAGGCCTGGAATCTCGCGCTCGGGCGGTCGGGCGCTTTACCCGCGGCGCGGAGCTGTTGCTCCATGTCTACGAGGAAACTGACCTTATCATCTGTAAGCTGATAGGCTCTAGCAAGCTCAGCAGGCGTCTCGCCCGTCGGGGTCTCTTCAAACAGACACGCGGCGACATCCGGTGCGGCCTGTACGAGCGCGCGCAGCACCTCGAGCTTCGTGGCGGCCTTGACGGCGATGTGGAGCGGCAGCAAACCGCCCTTGTTCTTGTGGCTTAAAGCAGACGGGGCCACGTCCACAAGCTTCTTGACGACACGTAGCGGCACGTGCGTGTCCGTGCAGGCCCAGTGCAGCGGCATCATGCCAAAGTCGTCCATATCGTCGGCGCGCTCGGGTTGCGCCGTCACGAGGCGGTCCAGCGCGCTCCACTCGCTGGATTCGGCCAGCTCCAGCGCCGTCTTGGCGTCGCTGGGGGCCTTGGGCTTCATTGGCTGTCGTGCGGTCTCGGAGTGTTGCGATTCCTACGAAAAAGTGGCACGAACGTACGGGGTACGAGGTGGTTTTCGTTGTGAGACCGTCACTGGAGTTGCCGCGAGCCTCTCGAGGGAGAGGAGAGTAGGGGGTAGGGTTCCAACAAGGAGTGATTGTCAGCGGCTGCGTCCGTCCCGTCTGCACTGTTTAAAACCGGAACGACTTCTTTTTTTTTAGGGAGAATCTTCGCATTTTTCACGCTTTGCCAATGCCAGTTGGCTCGGTAACTCGGCCGTGACTCCAGCTGCTGGTGCTGTCCCAAGGCGGAAAATCTCGTGAGGCTGGCATTGCAGCGTTCACGTGATGACGAAGTCCGAACTGTTTAGTGAAAAGCAGGTCAAGAACATCTTGAAGCTCTTTGAGAAGTTTTGTTTTTCTCGCCGGTTGGAAAGGGGCACATCAAGTCGGAGATTTGCAAAGCGTGGCTGAGCTCTGACTGACTACATAAATGGCGTGCTGAGAGCGCCGGTGCCGAGATCGCGGATGGGATGGCAAAATGCGAATGGCTTCTTCGAATTGAACGCAAGATGATTAAAAATACTGTGAGATTCGAGCGATCCTAGCACAGTCCGCGGATCTGCCGGTGTGTACGTGCAGCGCAAAGATGCCGCTGGCTCGCGCTCTTTTTTGTCTTTTGCCCAAGCAGCAGCATGGAGCGGCACTACTTCTCATCAAGAAAAAAGATGCCAAAGTGCTTCAACTTGGTTTCCGCGAATGCAAAAAAAAAAAAGATTATGTATCCGTGTGTGATTGCACCGAAAGAAGAAGAGGCAGCTTCTGCCTTATGACGAGCGTACTCGCTGGTGCATTGGCAATAAAGGGAGAAACATTGGAAGGGCGACGAGTATCGCTTGCATGGTGAACCCAGAAGAAATGCCGCCGTGCTTGCTGTTTTCAAAGACAGCGCGGGGTGCGCGGCCTCCACCCACCACGCCACGAGGCACGTCAGCAACAAGCGCGAAGCAGACCGCGGCGTGGTTTTGATCCCACGCCGAGATGAGAGCGATCCAATGGCGCGCACGCCATTTACGATCGCTGGAAGGTCTCCCATGGTTATCAAACAATTCGGCATCGCTTTTAATCGTTACGTATGGCTAGCGTCCACATTCCAGCGTCAACTACAGTACTGTACGCTAGCTGTATATACACCGCGGCGTCGAGCCGAGAACGTTCTTCGAGTGCATTAGCAACGGAATGCTTCCGTAGAAGCCCTGCTGGCCCCATACAGCCACCAGTCCAGCGCTGAGCTCCGACGCCATCGAGATGAGTTCCTCTGGTGGCAAGCTCTGATGGAACCGCCCGCCAGGCTTCCAGCGACGTTCTACTCCATCTCCTTGACCACGACCTTTTGTCGGATGTTGGTGTGAGGTACAGCGCCGTCCTTGGCGTGGGCGCGGCGGTTGGCCATCTTCTTCTCCTCGCGCGCGTTGGCTTCGCGCTTGGCCTCGGCCGCCTTCTTGATGGCCTTGGGCACGTGTCGGTGCCTGCAGTTTGGTTCAACGATTTCGTTTAACAACACAAACACGCCATTCGTTAGTGGGACCAAGTTTCCGATAATTACCCGCCCATCCCCTTTGTCGTGAGCAACAAGCTTCGGCAAAAGGCCAACTGCAACAGGCAACAAACAAGACGTACTTGGAGATTCGACTGATCTCGCGCAGGTGTTGGTAGCGCTCCTTGAGCGACTCATTGTACTCCATCTTGCGGCGCTCCCGTGGGTTAACCTGCAATGGATAATAGAAGAGGGAAGCCGCGCCACGTCAGAAACTTCAAAGCTGCAAAAACATGTCGAGAAGGACCGCGTAACGGTCGAAAAGCAAACGATTTGCTCGTACCTTGGAGAGTTTCTTGGACGCCTCGGCCTTCCAGATGCGGATGTTTGTGTCATCACTGCCGGACAGCACAAAGTTCGCGTCGGCACTGAACTTGACGGAGAAAATCCTGGAGAAATTGCAGAAACAAGGGCATGTGTGAGAATTCATCGCGGCAATTGTCAAGTCAAATGAGAGCGGGCGGTTTGCCACGCTACGCTGGTGCGAAAAACGGCTGGTAGGAGTTGCACCTGCACGACTCACCGCCCGCGACTGGGGAAACCGATGCAAAAAAGCAAAGGAAAACGTACCGCTGCATGCGCTGCGTATGGTAAACTTCGCGGCTTTTAGCCGAGCGTACTTTGAAGATGCGGATCGTCCGGTCATACGAGCCCGATACGAACTCCCGACCTGTTGGAGAGTACGCCACGTCCATTCTGCAGCAGCAAGTGCAAGCACGACACTGGTTAGACACCAAAATCCACTTGACCAGTAGCAACCCTGACTCAAATGACGAAAATGACGCACACTGCCGAGACGTGGTCCTTGTGCACCGTCATCGCGCGGTTCATCTTGCGCATGTCGAAAGTGTATAAGTTGTGGTCTTCGTTAGCCTGGAAAAGAACCACCAAAATGACGCAATTAATTAGCACAATCAGAAAAGCCCGAAGTGGAGCCACTTAGTGCAAATAGGACTTACGACTGTGAAGTTCATGGGCTCCATGGGGTTCCATGCCAGCGCGTTGGACCGCATTTCCATGACAATTTTGCGCATCGAAGACGCCACTCGGATGTCGTACAGCGTGATGTTGCGGTCTGAGCCTGTGGACGCCAATAGAGATGCCTCTGCCGGGTTGAAATGCACCGAGTTGATCGAGTCTGCACCCCACGCGAACTCGTGCGTAGGCGTCGAGCGCGACGGATCCCACACCTGCACCTTGGATCCGCATGTTGCGAACATGTTCTGAGACCAGTGATGGTCAATGCCACTGCAACAACAGAAAGCACAACAAATCACACGCACGTCATAATGTCAATACTTGAGCCATTCGAATCCCTCGCACGGCACGGCACGTACAGGAATGGTTCCTTAGACGTAAAGGTAGCCAGTGCAGTGGGGACGTCTTCATCCTCGTCCTTCACACGCAGCGCCCATTGCTTCACCGTCTTGTCCTCACTGCACGAGTAAAAAGTGTTGCCGTCTGGGGTCACTGCCAGGCCGCGCACGAAGCCGCGGTGGCCGTACACGTTCCAGACGCACTTACGGCGTGGTAGATCCCATACACGCACTTCACCATCGGCGGCGCCACTGACAAACGCCACCAGACTCTTCGGGTTCGTTGCCAATGCCGTTACGCCGTCGCAATGGCCGTCTAGAGCTCCAACGAATGGCTTGGCGAAAAGTCTCTCGAGCTTTGCAGCGTTCAACGCACGGGTGTACTCGCGCGGTCGCTCGAACGGGTGGAGCGCCGGGTCGTAGTTGCGGAAGACCTTAAGCTTGTCGGATTGCACCTCTTGCGTGAAGTCCTTCTCCACGCGGGAGATCGTCTTGACCTTCATCGAAGCAGAGCAGGAAGAGATGTCTTCACTGGATGGCGGTGAATTCACAATGAAGATCGATGATTGGATAAAAATGAAATTTGCTGATAATAATCTTGAATCAGTACTTTACAGTAACGAAACTACAATTTCATCATTACATTTGATGCAGATCTGGTTGCTGAACTGCTGTCTTACAGTTTGAATTTCTCGTTCAACGTGTCTTCGCTGAGTTTCCAGAGCTTGTTGGCGTCTTCCAGTGAGTGGCTTGACTCGGCGCCTGCCTCGAGAGCAGGGTAACCTCGCGCGTGCAGGAATCCATTGGGGCCATAATACTCGCCCCCCTTGACGTTCATCATTGTCGCAGCGTACAGAATGGGGAGAACGCCCATTTGCGGTGTCATGAAGGGAAGCCAAGACACGAGCCACACGATTATCTCGGCCAGCCAGCTTGAGAATGTGCTGCGGTAGTAGCGGTTCCAAATGTCAGTGTGTGCCAAGCCCGGATGAGCCGCCACGGCCACCACGTTCTCCACCTGTGCGGACTGTAGGCGACGCTGCAGTTCATAGGTGAAGAGCAAGTTGGCCATCTTAGTCGTCATGTAGTCGCGAAGACTGCCGCGCGTGTGGCCCAGCGTCGAGAAGTCCAGGAACATCCAGGAGAAGTAGTGCGCGAGGCTGCTGACGTTGACCACACGGGCTTGATCCTTCGACTGACGCAGTAAGTCTAACAATAAGCTCGTCAGGTAGAAGTGCCCCAGGTGATTGATAGCAAAGTGCGCTTCCAGGCCTCCCGGTGTGTAACGTTCGGCAGGCACGGACACGCCGGCATTGTTGATCAACAGGTCAAGGCGGTCGAACTTCTCGTGGAACGCACGCGCGAAGTCGCGCACACTGGCGGGGTCTCCGATATCCACCAGCATGAACTCCACCGAGCCAACATCGTCAGTTGGCAGCTTAGCCAGTTCTTGACGGATCAGTTCCTCGGCGCGTCGTCCCCGTCCTTCGTTACGACACGCGAGAATCACATGCGCTCCACGCACAGCCAACGCCTTGGCCGCTGCAAAGCCGATGCCTGAGTTGGCGCCGGTGACGATCGCGAGCTTGTCCTTCTGGGACGGCATCGTGGAGCCATCCCAGTTTCCCTCGGAGCTGGCAGCAACACCCATGCTTCAAGACTGGAAGTTCGAGTTCCACTTTAGAAATGATTTGCTGGAAGTCTTGTGGTCTCAGACTAGGAACATCAGTCACGATATGTCCTTGTCTTTGTCTTTAGTTGCACGACCTGCTGCGCCGTTAGGGTATCGAAGCAATAGCCCCATTCAAGCTTTGCCGAGTACTGGGTAGCCATGGCCCCTGCCACGAAATGGCCCAGCTCGCATGTCCAGAATTCTGCCACGAAGAAACGTCGTAGCTCGCGTGCCGTGGTCGAAATCGACACCTGCTCTGGCGATGACGATGAGGTCGCCCGCGACTTCGAAGACAGCGAGAGCAACGACTCCAGCGAGTCGACCTGCGATGAAAACTCTGGCAAGACGGAGGCCAAGTGGTGGTGCGCCCGCCCATGGCGAATAGATCCCGTCACCTGGAGAGTCTCCAGCGAAGATGCACCTTAGGAAGGACAACGGGTGCTAACTGATAAGCGCGTGGACAAATACAGGTACCAGCTGAACGTCTTCAAGAGCCCTGCCGTGACTCGACAGTTGGCACCACGGATGGACGTTTATGAGGAGGGGTTGAGACGACTGATGAAGACTCCGCGTGCGATGGCCAAGGAGCAGCGCAAATTGCTGAAGAAGGTGCAGCACGAAATGACCGTGACGATGCACAGCGCAGCGAATAGAACTTTACACCTCAAACCAGAATTGGCGGACGATGCTGACCAATTCTTCTTGAAGCTCTGAGCAGTTAATGACGGCCATGGTTGAAACTTTGCATGTTTGCGTGACTACTTGTCAGTGACAAAGTTGTCACAAGATTTCAAGTCTTGTCATCTCGAGTGTATAAGATCCAATATGCTCGCCAGTGGCAACGACGGCAGCGCGCTTCAAATTAATCGCGTATGCAGATTGCCATTGTAGATGCTGGTGTAAATACTGCACTACTTCCGAAACTCGTGCTCTTCGTCCTGTATTCGTGAGATATGATAAGGTACGCCACCAGTTGCTCTACACGGTGCGATGTTGAAGTCCTCAAGTACATACCGACGTACGATGTGCATGGCTATTGTAGCAAAATACACTTGAGTCCGACGCTAACCCTCGTTTACCAAGCGCCCTTCGCATCCAGCGCCCATCACTGACATTTTTAGTCTTGGTCACCCGATACGTCGAACTTGGCGTCGAGCAGATCTTCACTGAGCGTGTTGTGTCCGAGTAGGTACTAAAGCGATGTTAGTTGCCTCAGGACTTCTCTAGGGATAATTGTAGGAAAGTTGACGAAGGAGATCCCAAGAAAGTGGAGAGAATACTAGGTTTGACAGGACTAGACATAAGCCAAAACAACAACGAATAAACAGTCAGTCTTGAACCTGCCAGTAACTATAAACACATAGCAAATTGAAATTTCAATTCTGCGCTATGGAGAAGCAAGAAGGAGAAAACAGACAACCCACAGTGAGATTCAAGTCGCGTGGAAGATACCGAGGAGTCAAGGAAGTAGTCCCATTCACGGGGGGAAATTGGAAAAGGTGGTTGGAATTTCAGAGGGAAATCAATCGCCTCTACATATTCCTGGAATTGGACCAGACGGATCGATCCGCGCAAGGACTCCATGAGGTCATTACACAATTATTACAGGGAAGAGATTTGGATGTGTTCTCAGACACCGTTGCTCGCGCAGAGGACGATGGAGCAGACTGGTGGAGAGCAATTGTAGTCGCGATGGATGTCTTAACGGGTCGCCATTGTCCTTTGGGAACGAGAGAGATGCTGCATGATGAGATTAAATCACTGAGAAAGACTAGAAGTATGACGGTTGCAGAATATATCGACAAGTTTGAGGATTTGATATCGTTAGAACGATGGATTCTGGATGACGATGGAGCGGCAATGCCGGAATCAGAGCAATGTCGACATTTTAGTGCTGGAATGCCTCGAAATTGGCAAATGCAAGTGATGCCTCAGCAGGCACGCTGGACTAATCGAAAGGATCTACAAGAACGATACCTACAATGTGAACGAGTGGAGCAGCTAACTACGGTAAACGCGCTGCGTAGTGAAAAAGGAAAATTCGTGAAAAAACCAAAGAATAAGAATATGAAGTGGGACAAACACGAGAACAAGAAGAACCTTGGGAAACGTCCTCGGGAGCAAAATGTAGGGTGTGATTACTGTAAGACTCGCAGTAAACCGTGGAAAAATCATAACGAAGATGAGTGTTTTAGGAATCCTGCATCACCTCGCTACAAACCGCATATGAGTACGGACAGGAAAAACACATTCAAGTCAACGAAGCCCTCGATGATGAAAAACAACCCCTCGGCGGCTGCAGCTCAAGTAAAGGATTCGGGCTCTACGGACCATGACCCGATGCAGCTGTGGCACGTGCCAAGTGCCTCCGATGAATATGCGGCCGCGGCGGAGGTAGCAGTAAGCAATAATGAGACTGGAAAGGTGTTGAGAACGAAGGTAACGCTTAAACACCCCTTGAACCAGCAAACTTTCACGGCTATACTGGATACTGGAACGACTAAATCGCTGGTGGCAACTGAAGTGGTGTCTTGGTATAAACCCCAAGGCCCTCCACCATCTTACCGCAACGTAAACAATGAATTGCAAACAGCGAGAGGAACCATCACGCTCCCGTTTATCCTTTCTGAATTTTCTGACAAGCGTGAGTGTTCACAACAGTTTATAATAGTGGATCAATTATTGCATCCTGTAATTCTGGGAACGGATTTCATGCAAGAACAAGGAATTGTGATCGATTATAAGAATGGTACTATTAGCTGGGATGGAGTGGAATTATCAATGGAGACTCGGTCAGAACCTCAGAGACGTGTAGTAGTTGCGATTCAGGGTGCAGAGGATAGAACTATGCGTATTTTGGACGTCACTGGAAAGGAGATTGACTTGAGCAAACTCATACCAAAGGAAAATTTGACTAGTGATCAGAAAGCTCGCCTATGGAATGAAATACAGACTTTTAGAGTGGTATTTCTTGGTGGTCCAGGGAAAATGAAATTGAAACCGTATGAATTACCGATAAAACCCGGAAGTACACCCAAGGCACAGCGACCGTATCCCGTGCCACTGATTTATCGTGAAGCAACTCTAAGGGAGGTGGAAAGATTGGCGAAACTAGGAGTGTTAGAAGCTGATAAAGACTCACCCTGGGCAGCCCCAGCATTCGTGATACAAAAAAAAGATGGATCGATCAGATTTCTCACAGATTTTCGTGGTCTCAATCAGTGTTTACAACGACACTATTATCCGCTGCCCCGAATTCAGGATCTGATGCGAGAATTACGTTAAGGGAAAGGAGAATGTGGTAGCGGATGCGCTATCTAGACTACCCATGCGAACAGCGGCAAGTGCTGCCAGCGAAACAGCCAAAGAAGCTGATAAAAATCCCATTTGTTTTCGCTCTTGCTCGTAGAAATCGCGAAAGCACAGCAGCTAGCAGGTCTCAATGAGGGACCGGCAGCGCAGTGGCGTGCGATTGGCTGCACCAAGGTGCTAGTCAGCAGGGCGAATGGGACAATCATTCTTCCAGGATCACTAGTGGGTAAAGTTTTGCAAACCTACCACCAGTGGCTTGTTCATCCTGGAGAAAAAAAATTATGTTGAACTCTATTCGAAGTGCATTAACATGGCCTAGAATGACTGTGGATATTGCCAATTGGGTTCGAAACTGTGTTGAATGTGCTCGCAGCAAGGCTACTAAGAATAAATATGGTAAATTACCGACAAAAAGGACCGAAATTCGGCCATGGGCAGAAATAGCAGTCGACAGTATTGGACCGTTTGGACCACAGCACTGGCGTGCAATGACTATTATTGATACCAGCACCAGACTTTTAGAAATTGCACCAATGACCGACTGCACTAGTGCAGAAGCAGCACGAATTGTCGATCAATGTTGGCTCAACCGATACCCTCGGCCTGAACGATGTATTTGCGACCAAGGGACAGAATTTCGAGGTGAGTTTCAAGAGTTGCTTGAAAGTTATGGTGTACAACGAGTAAGTACGACAGTAAGAAATCCTCAAGCAAATGGCGTGATTGAACGAGTACATCGATCAATCAATGAAAAGCTGCGAGTCGAGTCAATGGATACTCTTGGTGACTGGGAGAACTGCTTGTCAGCCGTTATGTTCGCACTGCGAGCTCAGCACCATACCATGACTACTCACGCACCAGGGCAAGCTGCGTTTGGACGAGATATGTTATTTGACCTGCCAAAGAAAGTAGATTGGCGACTACAGCAAGGTCGTCAAGATGAACAAGTTCAACAAGCAAACAAAAGAGAAAACGAAGGACGAATTGATTATGACTATAACCCTGACGACCTAGTGATGATCGCGAAACGCGACCAACGAGCCCACAAGTTGCAACCGCTATTTGATGGTCCCTTCCGGGTAATATGTGTACGCAATAATGGTACACTGGTTGTGGACAAGATGAAATATCAAGAAACAGTGAGTCTGCGACGCGTAAAACCCTTCCGACCAACTAACATGGGGGAGAATGTTGTGTCCGAGTAGGTACTAAAGCGATGTTAGTTGCCTCAGGACTTCTCTAGGGATAATTGTAGGAAAGTTGACGAAGGAGATCCCAAGAAAGTGGAGAGAATACTAGGTTTGACAGGACTAGACATAAGCCAAAACAACAACGAATAAACAGTCAGTCTTGAACCTGCCAGTAACTATAAACACATAGCAAGCGACCAGAGCTTATTGGCGTTGTCACGCGAGTGGCTGGCAGGGTGCGACGTATTCAGCGCTGGGTAGCCCCTCAAAGTCATTAACCCGTCGGGTGCGTACATTTCGGCGCCGAGCACGCTATCCACCGTCGCTGCGTACAACGTTGGAAGTGCACCGATCTTCTGAGGCAGGAAGGGCAGCAGCCACACAGCCCACATTGCCAGCCACTGCAGAAATGGCCACCTCGCGAACTTGGTGCGAATATACTTGTTCCAGATCTCCGTGTGGCAAATTCCAGGGTGCACCACCACCGACAAGACATTATCAATACCAGCACGTTGTAGTCGACGCTGCAGCTCGTACGTAAACAGCACGTTGGCCATCTTGGACTCGGCGTAGTCACTCATGCTGTTGCCTGGTGTGTGTCCCATCAAGGCGAAGTCCAACTTGGCAGCATGGTGCAGTCCACTCGAGACGTTCACCACTCTAGCTTGGCTCTTAGTTCGACGTAGCAGATCCCACAACAAGCTCGTCAAGTAGAAGTGCCCGAGATGGTTAATGGCAAAAGTGCATTCCAAGCCTTTGGAATTATGTCGCACCGGCGGACAGGCAACTCCGGCGTTGTTGATGAGCAGATCGAGACGGTCGAACTTGTCTCGAAATGCTCTTGCAAACTCGCGGATGCTGTCGACTTCGGCCAAGTCCAATAGCATGAACTCCACTTCACCGACGTCATCACCGACCTCTTTATGTAGAGTTGTACGGATCGATTCCTCAGCTTGGCGACCTCGGACTTCGCTCCGACAAGCGAGCACCACGTGAGCTCCATGCAACGCCAATGCCTTAGCAGCTTCGAAGCCGATTCCGGAGTTGGCACCTGTCACGATAGCGACCTTGCCCTTCTGCGAGGACATAGTGCTGCCATCCCAGCGATGACTCGAGGATCCGACGCCCATGTCCGAAAAGATTGATGTGGACACTCACCCCACGATTGCTGATACAAACTGCACGGAACGCAATAACAAACTTCTGATCAAGTGTCTTCATATTCAACTCATCTACGCATGTGGCTCGCTTCTGGCTTCCTATCGTTTCCTTGTGGAGACTTAGCACACCAAAGCTTGGGATAGATGCTTCACCTCGGTTCTGTTCAACACGAGCTGCACGGACTGCGAAGAGGTCGAGGAACTGGTCCCGAGCTTCACTCGTCCTAGAAGTACAGGAGGTCGCTCCATCTCCGGTGGTTGCCAGCCGAACACGCTCTCACCGCGAGTGATGGCGTTCGTGACGTCTTGACCCCAACCGTCCTCCTGCATAGCAGCTCCAACGCGTTCACGAAGAGTATTCAGGTCTCTCTGAACACGCGACTGCTGCAGCTTCTCGGCCACGAGTTGAGCGTGTGCAGACGACCCGGTCGAAGAAGCAGCTTGCTTCAGATCCACCAACCGAGGCATCGACAATTGAGCCTTCACCTGTCGCGAGAACGTGGCTACCTCCTTCAATGAATTCGCCAACCGATCCGAAGGCTTTGGTGCCGAATTGCGAGTGTTTAAAATAGCATTCGATCCAAGAAGCTTCTCCAACCGCTCCTTTGCCAGTGTAGAGCGCACTGTATGCAGCTCCGTGTGAAGTTGGTGGAAGGCGCGACGGAATGCGTCGGCGTCTGCTGCACTCATAGCCGACCCCTTTGCACCGGTACCGGTATTCCCACCCTTGACACTGCTACCAGCGTCACTCGTACGCTTCAGCTGCTTACGTAGATCCCGGTTCAGCGAGTTAAGCAACGTCTTCTCCTTGTTGGACTCGTCCAGCGCCACGTCGAATTGTTCTCGCTCCTTGGCAAGCTGCGCCTCCAATTGCGTCTTCTCACTTGTCATCGCAGCTACACTCTCCGTCAACTGCAGCACTTGGCTTTCCAATTTCTGAGCAACGACACGGTGTTGACTGTCGGCGCGTTCAAACTCGCGGATACGTTGATGCAGCGCGTTGCACAGCTCCGTCATCTCCGCTAAATTACTACGCAACGTCGACGCATCCACCAGTTCTTGATGGATAGTCTGCGCTCGAATACGCCACTGTGGACGACCACTGGCTCCGTCAGGGTTCTCACTGCGCGTACGAGGCGCCACAGCGTCGGTGAAGGCTCCACGACACACCAATTTGTACAGCAACGCGACCTTCTCCTTGAATGCCACAGCGTGGTCGTACACGGCCTGCTGCGTGAACCGCACCAGCTCTTCGGTCGGTCTGGAGTGCTCCATAAGACCATCATGAGCGAGATGAGACTGCAACGCAGTTGACAGAGACTGCGCCTCTGCTGCATAACTCTGGATTGAAGCAACCACTTCACCACCGGCAGCCACTAGACCGTCAAGATCGTCGTCTGAAGCAGCCAGATCGATCTCAGCTCGACGGTAAAACAACTGAGCCACATTCAACACGGAGAGCAGCTCTCCCAGACACTTATCCAGCACAGGGATCAGCTCTGAGCGCAAAGCAGTAGTCTGATCGTCATCAGGCATTTCGGAGCTTGCAAGAAAACTCTTCGTAGTCCGTAGGAACGTCACTATCGACGAAATGGAGAACGCCAACTTGGCTACATTTTTTCTCGTGCGCAGCTTGACCACAGCGCACCGAGCACCGAAGCCTTCAGCATTTGAACCCGAAGATACTTGAGCGATTCGACTAGCGTGCCATTCTTCCGATGTCTGCACCAGACGGTCATACAACGACGCAATGTCTCCACCACGTGGACCATTGAGCAGAGCCCCCTCCGAGAAAGCCGAGAGCGCTGAGTCCAATACACTCTCCAGTGCTGATGTCTGAGAAGTGTCGAGTGCTGAGCAGCCCTGCGTAAACTCGTCCTCCGTAGTCAAGTAGCACTCTAACATGAAGAGATCCTCCTTGGTTTGACATGAGACAGCCGCTAACTTGTTGCCCAGGACTAATTGCTCCACACTCACTGCTTGAATCGATACACCTTCGTCCTTCTCGTCTTCTGTCTGTCCACTGGCAATCGGCTGCTGAGCGACAGTATCCAGGTCCTTCTTTAAGTGCTGCACTAAAATATCCGACTTGCCGGCAATGCGTCCCAGAGTCAATCGGACGCGAAGAACCTTCTGATCCGTCTCGGAGAAGATCGAGTTGGGTACCACAGCGCGCAGGAAAGAGTTTTCCAGTCTTGCCTGCTCTGAAATAATCCTCTGTCTAGCAGCCTCAGTCTCGTGTTCGCGTGCAGCAGCGACCAACGCACGCAGCCCCATCGTTTGGTTCAGAGCCAGATGTGCCGTGTCTTTCAGGGATTCCACCGCCCCACTCTCAGCACGAAGTTTCGCCTTCAATTGGGCAATCTCTTCACGGTGACTGTGTGCCAGATCTCGGAAGCGGGCGATCGTGCGCTCCTTGTCTTCGAGAACGGTCTTCTGCTCCAACGCCGCCTGCTTCAATTCCTGTAGCGTTGCACGTTGCGAGTCGATTTCATCACGTAGCTCCGCTTCATACTCAGTATGTTGATGTTCCATCTCCTGGTCCACTTCACGCAACGACTCGAGAGACTGTACAGTAGTCTCCAGCTCTGCCAGTTTCTCGCCTAGATTCAGATTCTTCTCTGTAAGATCTTCCACCATCGACTCGTACGCGTTTGCAACATCCAGCATCTCCTTGAGCTCCTCAGCTTCGATTTCCAGCTTGTTCTTCTTCGTCGTCTACACATACAATGATGTCAATCACTAACTCTAACAACATACAGCTCCACGCGTATGCCACATACCAGTTCTTCCACCTCTTCCCTCAACGACACAAGTTCAGCGTTCTCACGTTGCGCCTGACGCAACTTCTTGCTCAATTCAGCCTTCTCCTCCGACGCACGTTCATGTAGCATCTTCACTGCAGCTCGGAGCTTGTTGTTCTCCTCTGCCAAGTCTCCTCCACTTGGAGACCCTTCCGGATAGTCCGGCCCTGTAGTCGCTGACAGTGCCATCGCAGCCTTAAGCTTCTCCACTTCTTGTTGAAGTTCCTCTGCATGCTCCTCCGCGATCTCCTTGTCCATCTCAACTGTCTCCTTCTCTAACGTCATCATCTCGATCATATCCTGGAGCTCAGCGACCTGTTTCTCCAAAGCCTCCACTTTACGAGCACCAGAGCTCGACTTGGCCACAGCCATCGCCACTTCCTCCGCCTTCTTCTGCTCAGCAGCCGTGAACGCTGCAATGCGCGTCTTCTGCTGTGCTACTTCTGCCTCTAGAGCTTTAATCTCCGAGGCCTGCGTAGCGTTCTCAAGCCGCAGTTCATCCAGCTGCTCCTCGTGTTCGCCTTGAAGCTCAGTGATGTGGTCTTCCAGCTCTGCTCGTACCGAGCGCACATGCTCCTCTGCTTCTTCTTTAATGATCTCAATCTGCTGCGCCAGCTCTTCCTGTGGGGACAAGCCTGGCTGCTCCTCATCCACGTCCATCTTCTCGTCTTCAGCAACATCTACTTGCTCCTGCTCCTGCCCCTGCTCCATCTCCTCAGTCTTCTCGGCCTGCTCCTGTCCCTGTTGCTCCAGCAGTTTGATCTTCTCGCTATTAGCAGTCGCTGCCTCCTTCATGACAGCTACACTCTGTCTAAGCTGCTCTACATGTCGGTTCTTCTGCTCCAGTTCCTCCTCCAGCTTGGAGATCCTCGATCTAGCCTCTGTCAACTGGTCGTCCGAACTACCCGATGTAGCGCCGCCCACAGACGGCCGTCTGTCCAGCGAGAGCCTCGGTCTGGGTGCTGAGGCTGTAGGAATGCTAGATCTGCTGCTCGGTGTGATCATCGACGCCCGCGCTTTGGGCGCCGAGAGTCTGGAACTCGCTGAGCTGCTAGACGCCGAACTGAGCGGCGCTGCGGATGATGACGACGTTCCGATGCCTGATGAGCGACCGCTACCCACGCCTGAGAGACGCCGACTCAATGGCACCTTCGCAGTAGAAGACGCAGACGACAAGACCGCCCGAACCATCGACTTCTTGACGAAAAGTCCATGGTTGGGCGCGCATGTGAAGTAGACACGGCCGTTGAGCTCGCCATTGTTCTTGCCCTCGGGACGCTCCAGCTCAATGCCAACCCACTCACCGCTGGCGAAGTCCGTCTCGCCGACGAAGCGCACGACGCCAGTCTTGCCGGCGCCGAACGCCACGCGGGCGCCTATCTCGAGATCCATCAGGCCCCGCCCGATTCGGGAGGATACAACTGATGGAACTTTTGTGTTGGAAACATCGAGGAATCAGAGATGGACTCAGATATTTTGTAGGATCAGAGATCCTACACTATCCTACAAAACGATTTGGTGTGAGCAGTATAACATTTGGTGTGTGGATGACACCAGTTTGGTTGATTCCATCCCGTTAAAGAACATGTTTGACAGTTGAAGAGCATTTTGCTATTTAAATATAGGAAAACTCAGATACAGTCTGATTCGGCTGATTCCTAATGTTTTGTATGGAATCAGCCGAATCAGACCGGATCTGAGTTTTCCTACATTTCAATCGCGAATAAAATGCTCCTTACTTGAAAAGCAGATATAAGAGCACAATTATAATAGTAATGTCAACGTAAATAGTAGAAGAAACAAGAAAACCCCCTAACTTTTTGAGCGAATGTACATTCGCGATCTTAGAGTGTAAGTACATTTTACTTTCGCCTTGAACGTTTCGACTGGGCTGCTGGTGGTAGCCAATCCAATGGGTGTTCTAAAGCATTGCCACTTGAGAAACTTGCCGAAAAGCCATTGCTTATGGAAGTACTTGCCGAACTCTTTTATATCTGGATCGGCAAGCCATTGCCACAGTATAGTTGTTTTCTTCGAATGGAACTGTGACGCTGTTTTAGCGTAGTACATATCAAAGATAGCGGCTACCACGAGGCTTCGTTTGCCAGGATGGATGGAACTGCTGCGTTCGTGAACTTTAGCGACCACGTGGTAAAAACACACCAGAATCTCGGGGTTACAGCCTTCGAAAAATCTGTCCATGGCATTATACTGAGCCCCATCAGCATCTCCCATTATGTAGCATACGACCTAATGTTTTTTTTTTTACATTACACGAGCGTAGATCGCACGCAATGACATCAATGCAGACATATAGTTAAATTCTTCTTGTTGGGACGAAACAAATACGGCTACCAAATGGAACGAACGGGCATGGTCAGAAATTCCACAGACAAAGGTTGGATAATCGACCTGGTTGAGCTTGCACGTAGCGTCAAAATAAAAATAAAACTTTTTGGGTCTCGGTCCATTCGCTTCAGCAAACTTTTTGTTGTAAATACCACCAAAAAGGCATCATTGTCCGTGTCTTCGCCTACTGATATCTGTCCTGCCTTTTCCAAATTGCATGCAAACGAAAATGCATCAATTTCATCCACTTCGTTGCTGCAAGTCTTGTCTTTCACAGTTTGGGCAATCACATCCAAATCATCGGTATTGTTCAGCTCTGTCTTTCAAAAGCGAGTCACAGCGTTTTGAACCTTGTTCTGGGGCGTTGACGGACAATGCGCTCCGCATGCGGCTTCATATCATCAGTGGCCAGCTCGCTCGCTTGCTTTTTTGCTCTGAAGTCAGCTTGCTAGAAGGCAGGTCCATGCCTTGAACTTTGCGAGAACCAATTTCATATATATTCGCCACACTGCTTTCCAAGCACGTTAACACCTTGCACCGCCATTGACACTTCATTGTAGCCATGCATGCGGCCGAACAAACGCGCGAGCCGCACGAGAGAATTTAGTTTCGCATTTGTTGCAGATTAGGAGCTCTACAAACCGTGCAGGTAGCCAGGTTGCTCACGGTAATGGTATGGACGAGTACCATGAGTGAAGGAGTGGTGGTTGACCATTGTTGTCACTGACTGATGGAGAAAGAGAGTTCTGCTGCGAGTAATACGAGTGTGCTAGTAAGTGCTACTTGTCGTCTGTTTGACACCAGCTTGGTGCTGCAATGGCAGATGGGACTCCGCTTCGTCAGCTCGACACAAGACTGCAAGATGATTTGTCTGAAGTTTCGCAAATTCCTGGCGGCAACTTGCTTGCTTGTCAAAGCGCTCGATATAAATTGCTGGGCTTGACCTGTGAATGCTTTCTCGTCCTCGCTGTCTTATCCTTCACAGTGAGACTCATTTGGTCCGCCCAAGCTAAATAAAACCGGCTCTGCGAGCCAGTAATATCCCACTGTTCAGATTTCTGGCCAATCCGATCATTCGGTGAGCGCCGCAGAGACTGTGCCGTTCAAACCAAAAAGCGCGCCATTCCAGCCACCGACTCATTTGTCTCCAGCGTAGCACGCGGATCCCTCATCGCCTTGTCGTGAACCGCGTCGGAAGTTCTTCAAGCGCAGTTTTCTCCGTCGCCATTCAGAGTTCGCAGCCCCACAGAGATAACTAGCACTCGAAAGTACAGTTAAGTGTCGAGGCACCAGCATGACAGTGCGCAGCATCGTAGAGATGTTCGAGAGCATGGCAGCTTCCACAGGTGCGGATGCGCCCAACCACCAACATGAGTCCCCGGAGCGCGGCAACGTCCACGGTCTGGTGACGTACTACGACGCCCTGGCAGTGGTTGAGGAGACCCCGATTATCCAACCAACCAAGGTTGTGCGAATCGTGCCGGCCCAGCCTGCCATGAGCGAAGCTGAGCCGCAGCTAAAGGACGTTGGGCACAAGGGACAGGAGGAACAAGCTCAAAGTGAGCAGGAACAGGATGAGCCGGAGCAGGCTGAAGAGGAACTGCAGGAGGAAATGGTGTATGAGCAGAAGCAGGAGGCTAGTCAGCCTAGTAACCAGGACACGAGCGAGGTGCCAGCAGCGCCGAAGTCGTCACCACCTAGACTAGTGCGGGATTGCTCTCTCCTCGTGAGCAAGCTCCCACAGCCGAAATCTCGCGAGTTTCATCTCGCTGCCTGCTCGGTGCGCAAGCCCACGTTGTTAGGTGCACAGCGGAGCTTCACATCTACTACCAGTTCAAATGCTATTAGTCAGCCGATCTGCGTGCCCCCACCGACTCCGATCTCCTCACGTGTGCGCTCGCCATGCACGAGCTATGCCGCTTTCGTGAATAGAATCGAGAATTCAACATCTCGGTTGCTGGATTTCGAGAAGGACGAGCGGTGGCTAGGTCAGGTTGAGACCATGAAGGGCCGTGTGGAGGAGCTCAAACGGAGGAACCAGATTGCTCTCGCAAAGGAGGTGGCCAGCACCCCTCGCAAGAGCAGGAGTATGAGCGAGTGCAGTGGCGTGTCAACGGCTTCCACCGCGTCAATGTCGTCTATGGATACGCCGGAGATCAGTTGCCAGTAAGAGCCTCGCTTCCGTCGAGCACACCTAACTTATTATCTAATGTTAAGCTGCGCAATCAAATGTTGCTCCTCACTCCAGTGTCTTGCATTTTCAAAATTCAAATGGCGCGAGCAATTAATTGAAAATACGTTCACTGAAATCGTAGTAAACTACACGTCGGTTTATGTAAATAATTGCATTTTGACTTTTTAAAAAAATAAAAACTTGCAACTATTTATTTTAAAATCAAAACAAAAAACTTTCAATAAATACAATAATTGCAGATTCGTCACCTATCCCCGGGAGAAGCCGGTCCCATACAAACGCCCAGTTAAAATACCTCTGAAGGTATCGCAGAGCTTGCGGTAAAGCTCACCAGCCTCCAAGAGTCTTGCCCAAGACAGCGCGCGTGTGTGCGTACACACTGAGAGAAAGCATTCGCAGGATGACCACCGAAGTCAACGCCTCCGTTCTGGGAGGCACTGTGCTCAACGCTGGACCCCTGGGCACCGAGTACGTCCCTGACCGACGAGCTCGAAGCGCGAGATTATACTCTTCTCTAACCTTTACTTGATTATTTCTTAAATGCAGCACGACGTACGGAAAGCTGCCACCGCTGAACCCTGATGACTTGAAGCTTCCGCCTCCGCCTCCATCGGCTGCCGACAAGGTGACCCACACTGCCGACGCCATCTCTATCAGCGAAGTGTGGGCGGAGATCAAGGCCAAGACCCGGGAAATGTGCGTCTGTAGCCCGTGATACGATTTACTTACGCCGTTCTGACACTTTTATTGGTGCAGCATCCTAGGCTCGTCGGTGACTGGCGTGTTGTCGGCCATGCGTATCGTTAATCTGGTGATGGCTGGCTGCATGATCGGACTGGCGGTTGGACAGATCATCCAGTCAGACTCGGCCTTCTCCGTCATGGCAGACGCACTCTCAGTCATCTACACCATGTACGACTTAGTAGTTGAATTATGCTTTAGTGGTGATGATAGCTGACCTTATTGGTGTTGGCCGCAGCTTCTTCGCATTGATTTTGGTGGGGTACGAGTTGCGCACGGCCTACATCGACAAGCTGCTGCGTGGCAGCTTCGGCTTCATGTACAGCCCATGGGGTCGATGCCTCTTCCTGAGCATGTACGTTATTAATGCTTTTGATTGACGGGGAGTATCTATACTGATGGCGTGGGTTAACGCAGGATTTCCATCTTCCCGTTCGGCATGTGTGGCGTCTACGGCATTCTCGTGTCACTCGCGGGCTTCTCCAATGCCTACTTCAACTACTTTGTCATCATGAAGCACCCGTCATTCACGCGAGGCGTCCCGGAGTACACCCCACCCGAGGAGACTCCGGCTGCCAAGTCCCAGACGATCACGGAGGAGGACACCACTGTCTAAGGAGTTTCTTCTCAGCTTACGATCAAGCGGTCAATAGCAGACGTCAACTCAGCGAAAATTAAACCAAGTGACGTATGCATTACCGCTCGTTGCTTGCAGATTTTAGTCGCATGAGTTGCATTTATCGATCTTCATAATTTACTGGAGCGTTTAACGTGCCTGTTTGCGTTGTATTGCATATTCCAGACATTCAAATCCTTATTGTGTCAATTTCATTGGCAACGACAGGAGTATTAATACGCGCAAACTGACAATCAGCCTCTCGTTGAAAATGGCCGCCGAGAAGGAGCTGTGCGAGCGTGTGTGCAAGAAGCAGGCGTGCGCCATTCAGTTCTGTCTGCAGCGTCACAATTACCAGGAGAACAAGTGCGCGGAGGTTATCAAGCGGTATTACGACTGTTGCAACGCTGCCAAGGAAGCAGAGCAGAAGAATTGAACGACCTCCAATCAAACATTGCTACTGGAATTGACAATCACAACATAGTGGTGCACAACACTTTGGACCCGCAAATATCTACTCGCTCTTGAGTTTTTGGTCAGCAGATCTGACTGTGCAGCGGGAAAGCACTTTTCGTCGCACTTGACCGAGTGTCCAGAGCACGTGGGAGCTACTAAGCATCAGCACGCTGTCCAGAAATAAAAGTCAGTGCTATTGATGCTCACAGGAGCAACTGGTGGCGTACCTTGTCATTTCCCACGAATACAGAACGAGCGCAGAGAGCACAAGTTGCGTGAGCAGAAGCAGTATTTGCACCAACGTCAACAATGCAAGCTGCACGCGGGGCTCCTTGAATATCGACCGATTAGTTTGAAGCGCACTGCTGTCGTTGCCACTGGTGATGGTCTTCATGGAGCTTATATGAGACTTGCTCTTAGACTTCTTTTTCTGAGAACAACAAAATAACGTTAGGTTGAAATTTCACTTAAAAATGAGCTGTTGATAAACCTTTGAAGCTCCCACTGAAAGCTGATCTGGTTCGAAGCGATCAATATCTTGCCATACACTCTCAAGTAACTTCGCCCCACGTTGCTGTGTCTTCATAAAGGCGCCGTTTATATCGCCAAAGCAATGGAGAACGACATACTTCGCCGTGAGCAGCACTATCACGTGCACGAAAGCTGTTGCCGCTGTGAGTGCGAAGGCCATCTCATCGTATATCCACTCCTTCTTCTGCTCATTACAACAAGTCCAAATGGTCAGATTTATCGACTTGCCGAGGTCTTCCAGAACGAGTTCCTTACATAATTGAGAGAAATCGAAATGCCTGTGACTAAGTAGGTGACTTCCATAGCTGACAAGAGTATTTGTCGAATCGTAAGTCGGCCTATTGCTCCTCTAATTAGATATATCGATACAATATCAAGCAGAAATCTGCAACCATCATCATACAACAAGTTCCGTCAGCTACTTTGACTTCACTACCGTCGCTGTTGACAAACGTACACCGCCGCGAAAGCCACGATATGGAGGGTATCCGATGGGATCTCATTTCGATAATACAAAGCTCCAAGTCCGCTCATACCCAAAACAAGGATCAAAATTCTCAAGCCAATTTCTCGACCACTGCCGACTCGAAGAGGGGCAGGAGGCAGAAACAACTCCACGAAGCTTTTCCTCGTCATCCAGACGACAGTTCCAGCCAACAACGCAAATTGTGTAGTTGGCACGCTCTGGGGTACAGCAGAAAGAATGAATTGCGGTTACAGTTACCTTGTAAGCTATAACTGGAGTGAATACCTGGACAACCATGAGTGCATTCTGCACGACGAGCACCACAAGACTATGCAGCAGGAGTGTGCGCTCCAACCTTGCCGGGATTCCGACTACCTCGCCACTCAATCGGTCGTAATAGGCCCCCAAAGTCTCCAGGGACTTCTTGATAGCCTCATGATCGATTGGTTTCTCCCGGTTCGTTGTGGCAGACGCTCGTTGCGTCGACGCTACATGACGCCGCTTCTTGGCCATCTTGGGAAAAATGGATCTGAATTTTCAGCTTGTCACGCTTTTTGACAATGCTTGTCACCCAAAGTACGTGTTCTTTTCCAGCCACATTATTGGTCAAAACTACATCAATGTGTCCTTCGATTGGCTCAAAATGTGCGATGAGCTCCCATTTCACAATCGTCATCAAAGCCACCAGAATGCTGCGCCACGTCGCTCTCTCTTCGCTGCGTTGCGCGTCCCGCCGCGCCTCCACGCTTAGTGTTAAGGCTCTGTCAGCTCTGCCATCTCTGTGCAGATCTAATGGTGCAGTTTTAGCATCGCGTAACAGCCCCCTGCAGACCATGCACTTCTCCACAGACGCTCCAGCGCCTCCACAGATGACGGAGAACGAGTTCATGGAGCTGGCGGACGAGACGCTGCATGATATTCAGAGCTGGCTGGACGGCATTGAAGAGATGCTCGAAGAGTCCGACATCATGTTTTCGGTACGTCGAAACCCACCGCAGCACTTTGACCAACATACTGACTCTAATGGTCACAACAACAGCAAGGTGTCTTGAAAATTGACTTGGGCGAGCACGGCACGTGGGTGATCAACCGCCAGGTGCCTAACCGACAGATCTGGTGGTCCTCTCCGGTCAGGTACGATAGCCATAGGGGTGGTTTCTACGTTTGAGACTGATACTCATTGCATTTTCTGGTGGTGCAGTGGTCCTCGTCGCTATGAGTATGACGCTGAAAGTGGCCACTGGGTGAACACGCGAGACAGAGGCGAGTTGATGGAACTGCTGCGCACTGAGATCCTGGACAAAACAGGCATTGAGATCTACACCTGAGCTGAAGATATGGAGGATGCCAGATCTGTAGCAACTTGAAAAAAATGAAGTACAACCCAGCACAACAGGAGCTGCAGTCTTTTGTTACATCTGCTCGCTTTATCCGTTTTGATGTGGACTTGGCTGCATGTTGTTACTCCTCTAGGCCACTTCGTTGTCATCCTCGTCCTCTTCACCAGTGTCTACTACTGATGCTTGTCTATTCATATCTACTTCGTGTCGCTCGCTCATGTAGTTCTGGTTACAAGCATACGGTATCAGCATTATTTTTGACACGCACATACACATAGAGACAATAACGTACTTCAAGCAAGAGACCACGGAAGTGCTCTGCGGACGCCTCCAAGGTAGAAGAGGCCAACAATCCTTTCCGACGAGCTTCGTCCTCTTCCCAGTCGGCGATGGCGCGGTCCCTCATATCCAGAATGTGGTCGCGACGTCTCTTTTCGTTCTCCACCTCAGTGAGTTGAGAATAATACTCTTTTTCCTGGTTATCACAAAACATACACTAGTTAGATCAAGGACTAACCAAACGACGCAGTGAAAGTTACCTCTTCCGTGCATTTGCGCCACATATCGCCCATGATCTTCCTCGTTTCAGACGCAGAACGGCGAGTCTTGCCCAACGCTTCCTTCTGCATTTGGCAGTAGACGATGAAAGGGTTGATCGGTCGCGGAAGGCGGCTCTCCTGTGACCACATCGACTCCTGTAAGTCTCAACTATCAATCGGTATGTGTGTAGGTACAGCAATAAATGAACCTTTGATACTGGTCGTGAGGGTCGCTTTGATCGGCCATTAGTTTCTGAGACCACCGGCGTGCTTTTCCAAGTGGTAGGCCTGCGCAATACATGGCAGTTATTAGAGCAAGATCCTTCAGCAAGCACAGTTCTCACAAGTGGAACGTACGCTCGAGCAGCCGTAAATCTCGCAGATAAATATGTCCTCTCCTCTCTGGACAGCTCACTCAGTACAGGCTGCCACAATTCTGTAACACAAACAGTAAATTCGTGAGATTCTGCTGTAAATGTACAGCAGATACAGAAGACCAACTTACTTGCATCATCCGCGCTACGAACGACGTCGTCAAGCGGCGGCATCACCTCGACGTATCCTCCACTGGAAGTTGGCAGCGTGAGGCCGGAATCCTTCGCTTGGAAAAGATTCTTCCCAATCCATTTGCGCCCGTTCAGTGCAACACGATAGGCAGCAACCTGCTCATAGATCGAAAAGACGATAGCGGGCTCAAATGCTTTTGGCAGGTTCAAGTCTACGCATAGTGTGCTTGCAAACTTTTGGGTGGCGATACAGTTGTTCGATATGTCCCACTCGAATTGATCGCGCAGCTACAAACAAATCGATAGCAACAGTACATCGTCAATACATCGATCTTCCAACCAGTAGAGTGCTATCACTTACGGAGAATCCGTCAATGATGAGATCTAAGTAGATAGGATATAACCGCTCGCTCTTGTAATCAATCGTCATACAAGATGAGGTAAATGTCAAAATTTGTCTACGAATTGACTCAGCGATTGCATCCTGCAATAGAAAAAGAAATTAGTATTCCAACCAATAAAAAAATAGATGCAAGAATAAGATACGCACTTTGAGCTTATTGCTCATCTTTTCATCATGGGCAATTTGTGAAGCAAGCACCTCCGGTGAACAAGTGTTTAGGGCCCTGTAAGGAATACACATGCACATATTAGTTAAACTTACGTCATGAACGCCTTCAGTAATCACCGCAACTCGAACTTACGTATTAACGAGAAAAGTATCTTGAAAGCGAACGCCATCCAAGTCGACATCGAGACGAATAGGACACATAAGCTCCGGTTTGGCCAGTTGCTGCGGCTTCCGTACATCAAGTTGATGTGCTTTTGACCCCGTATCTGCAACATTTTCTTCCTTCGACGCCACAGCCTTCACCTTAGTATTAGAAGCATGCAGTGGTTGCATGATGACCCTCCGCTTCCGCTTCCGATTACCCGCAGACGGCTGCTCCAGCTCCGCGGTCGCTTTCTATATAGAATATTTAAGTATCTCGCAACGCCATCCCAATAGCATGTGCATAAGACCAACCAATTGCGCAGGTGTAGCTTCTGCGTGAATGATGCTTCTCCTGTCCCCCGCATTGCGCCCGAACTGCTCACAATACGCACAATTAGCCGCCATTTTTTTGTCTTCTGGTCTTATAAGCATACTCAGCAATTTCTGACCTGTGTGGGTGCCGTCGATCTCCTAAAACTCCCATCCAGAGGCTTCAGAGGCTTGGTAGTCGCGCTCTTGAGTGTTTGATGCGCTAATGCCACGCGATATCTCATCAACAGCTTGTCCACCGCCGTGTCTGCAATCTACAGCGCATTGCACAGCGTTAGATCCATCTTAGCGACTTAAAAACGCCATGTTGATGTTGTCGGACGTACGTCGGACGCCGCTTTGACACGCCGTGCCTCAGGCGACAGATACGCACGCAGCTGCTCATGAGACCAGCCCAGCTGCCTCGCCACCTTGTCGTCTGCCACAGCGTAGCGCTGCATGAAGAGCGCCAGGCGGTCGGCCGCCGAATGCCAGTCGCCCGATCCCCCGCTCATTAGCTTGTCGTATGGAGGGGAGCTCCTCGCCCGATACCAATTTGGAGGTGAAATGTGGCAGACACAACAAACAGGAATTGTGTGTAAAGTTGGTGTAGCGGGTGTGGTAAGTCGAAAGTTTTGACCTTACATAGTAATTTTGTATGATGATGTGTGAATTTTGAGGTAACTTTATGATCGTTTTCGCTCCATAAAGTTTAAAAGTACTGACAGGCAGAAAGATGGTGTGGGCTATATTATACATGTAAAAAAAAAAAAATCTGCATGTTGAGCTCTTCCCCTCAAAGTTGGTTGGATTGGCATCGCTATATTTACATATACGGCAAGTTGGACCTCGAAACCGCTCAATGCCTATCTGACCTGGACATTCAATCACGCGTGGACACCACGTCTCACGCCTCGTGACTCACGAGATGGCGTGGCCGTTCTGTGCAGTTCCGACGTTCACGGCTGCAAAAGACACACGCCAAAATATGTCAGCGAGTCGCTTCTCATATTGCTATCCTCCTATCAATGATAGGCTATCATCACAACGTATCATACCTTGGTCATGGTGCAGCAATCCCGCCTGACTGCTCTCCTTATTCCTGTTCCCGACTCTGAGCGAGAGCTCTGCGGTTCTCCTGGCTCAGGAACACGACCGGCGAGCGAGGAGATCCCAGTGCATCGAACGCCAAAGAGCCCGGTACGATCGCATTTCGACGGCGAGCAGCGATCGACTGGTGGAAGCCTTCACGAAGTCCATTTCTCGATGGTGCAAGCGAGGGCCCCGTCCACTGTGTACCGGCGTCGGTCTTTCCACGCGGTGAGTCTGGAATGCTGAAACCCATCCTTGATTTTCTTTCGCGAGGACGAGATACTTCGAGCTTACAAAATGCACCGTTGTTCAGGACGCCAACGATAGCGTGGTGTTATATTTCACACACAATTGGAGTTAGCTTCCAGTCGCGTGTGAAATCGGGAAATGCTCTCTGCAAACAAGTCGAGCGAGTCGTCTGCCGGAAGAGGATTCCTTTGACATCTATCCACAGCAGATTGATGCTGAACAATTTTGCTCCAACATCTTATTCCTCGTCATCAACCCCGCTCAAACAGATCAAATGTATCTATATCGTATTCTGCATCCGTTCAGTTCAATCTCATATTACCATGGCTCCCCGCGGTGCCGGCGCGCTGGATGCGCGTAAGGTGATTCTGCTGGGAATGGGGCTGATCTTTGTGGCCTACTTCGTCGTGGTGAACGTCTTCTTCGACTTGTCGGCGCAGAGTCCGCACTTGACCCAACAAGCCGGTGATACACAGGAGCAAACGCGCGAATTCACGGATGAAATGGCTCATGAGGGGGCTAACACGGGGAAAAAGGCTGCAACCCCCCAGTCTACGAGGTCCTGGGAGCCCAAACCTGACCGGAAATATGTGTGGCTGGACGTTGCCATCAACGACGTGTACGTCGGTCGTGTCACGGCGGAATTGTACGCTGACATTGCTCCCAAAACAGTGGAGAACTTCCGAGCGCTCACCACGGGCGAGAAGGGTCCAGACTACGCGTTCAAGGGCAGCGTGTGCCACCGTATTCTTAAGGACTTCATCGTACAATGCGGAGACTTCACTACGGGCACAGGGACTGGAGGTCGCAGCATTTACGGGGGTAGATTCGAAGATGAGCCAAATGGACTGCGACTCAAACATTCCAAGCGATACATCTTGCAGATGGCCAATTCTGGTCCCAATACCAATGGCAGTCAGTTCTGTTTCATGCTAAATGCTGCGCCGCATCTTAACGGCAAGCACGTGGTGTTTGGAGAAGTCGTGGAAGGATTTGAGGTTGTGGACAAGATGGAACAAGCTGGCGTCGAGAGAGACGGCATTCCGCTGCAGCACAAGGTCAGCTTCATGGACGGAGGCGAGATTCTCTTCTAGATGACAGTTTAAACTGAGGATAGTATGGCACAAGAAAAATAGTGTCAGATGCATCTATTCTATTGTGTTCGTATCCTATGACAGATGGCCCATAGCTTCCGCGAACTCGATGTAGTCTTGCACGGATTCCTTAGAAGACACAGGCGTGATACCAAGAAGAGCTTGATCAAAGTGGCGCATGCACACTTTCTCGGCATCCAGAGACTCTCGAAGGGCGAGTAGTGCTGCTTCGCGGCATAAATTCTACGAGCAATCAACGAGTTAGCGACAAGAGAGTCTCAAGCAAAATAGATAGTAACTGTACCTCAAGTTCAGCTCCACTGAAATATGGTGTACGACTAGCCAAAGCAGGTAGATCGACATCATCGTTCAGTTGCATCGGCCGTGAGTGGATCCGCAAGATCTCAACGCGATCGCCTTCAGCTGGGAGATCTACAAAGAGGATCCGATCAAACCGACCCGGTCGCATGAGTGCTGCATCGATACAAGCCGGACGATTCGTTGCGCCAATGACCAAGAGTCCTTCGGCTGACTCGACGCCGTCCATTTCATTGAGCATCGTGGAGAGCACACGCATAGCAGTAGAAGTTCCACCTTCTCCACCTCCAGATCCATCAAACTCCCGCTTGGCAACCATCACGTCGATTTCGTCGAAGAAAATAATGGCAGGGAGTGCTGCTCGTGCGTCGCGGAAGACTTGGCGAACAGCAGCTTCTGCGTCGCCAAAGAATGGGGAGAATACCTGAGCTGCTGATAGCGACAGGAAGGTGGCTCCACTTGAGTGAGCTGCTGCACGGACAACGGAGCTTTTACTACATCCTGGTGGACCATAAAGTAAAACACCACGTGGTGGCTTCACGCCGAGCCGAGAAAAGGTCTGCGGATACTTGATAGGCCATTCAAGTGCTTGTTGCAAGGCGAGCTTAGTCTCTGCCTGACCGCCAATACTATCCCAGCCTTGTCGCTCAAAGTCCTTGCTGAAACAATAATAAACTGTCAGTACACTTACTATGCGTAAAGAACAAACAATACTTACGTGAATCCGCTGGCGCCTCGAAGAGCTGACGGTACGACGGTTTGCATAGCTTGATCAAAATCGGCCATGGTCACTTCAAATGTCTGTACCTTTTCATCCTTCTCATGACGAGACGAAGGTTTGATGCGTTGTCGTTCGCCACCTAAAAGAAACCTGAAATATCCCAAGTCTGACTGTCGTTGATGTTCGCTATCTCCAGTATTATCAGCATCTTGTTGGCTGTTTTGCTTAGCGAGAAACCACAGCGGTATGATAGCAGCAGGGTTCGCATGCCAAGCTCGACCCGCGACAACAGCTTCAAGTGTTGGCGATGCGTTCTGGACACCAGTGAGAGGCTCAACACGGCGTTTCCAGTCTTCCCACCATTGTTCTAGATCACGATCTTGAGAAAGAGCCACAAGCTGCCGCGTCGACGCCACCATGGCAGCTTCACGACACAAAGCGGCAATATCTGCGCCAACGTAGCCAACAGCTTTTGCAGCTAATGTGTCGAGAAAAGTATCACGTTGTTGTTCAGCCTCCTCTGCCGAGCCGTTGGTGAGAGCGTAAGGAGTCCGGCTAAGATGCACCTTGAAAATCTTCTTGCGCAACGCTGTATTTGGTGGAGCTACGAAGATCTCGCGGTCGAATCGTCCTGGCCGACGTAGCGCTGGATCGATAGAGTTTGGCAGGTTCGTGGCAGCTGCAACAACCACATTTTCACGCGAGAGGCCACCCTCTACACCGTCTAATAGCGTCAGCAACTGAGCAACAATGCGACTGTGTGACGATGAGGCCCCTCCACCTGCAGCTTCTCGCTTGGGACAAAGAGCATCGAGCTCGTCGATAAAGATGACGCTAGCTGCGTGGCGAGCACTGCGAGCATGAACCACTGCATTATCGAACGTGCCACGCAAAGTCTGTTCGGCATCTCCGCGACCGCTAGTCATTATTTCAGACCCGTTGATGACCTGTAGATTCAGATCTAGTGGAGCTCCAGACGCATCCTTAACCTGACGACATTCGTGCACAACCGACCGCACCAGCAGCGTCTTACCCACACCAGGAGGTCCACACAGCAACACACCCTTTGGAAATTCCACACCCAACTCCAAGCGCAGTCGCGGGTGCGCCACTGGAAGTAAAATCAATTCCCGCAGAGCCGCTCGTTCGTCCTCCATTCCTCCTACCTTCACTCCCTTGTCCTGTTGTGCAGGTGGAGATGTCACGACTGAGTCTTCAGCTTCATTTCCATCTCCTCCATCGATATTTCCAGGCTCTGTCAACGTTACACGAGTACCAGAAGTGATCCGGACAAAGGGTGCAGCAGGGTAAGTGGACACCACGCGGAACGTGAGCACTTGTTCTTGCTCCTTATCTTCCACACCTCTGCTCTCCGCCACGAGACCAGCCAGGGTCGGCAGCTTCACTCTTGCGCCTGCACACACCACAACATTTCGCTGTAGTGTTTGTTGCAGCAACGAGCGAGTGTCTGCGTCACGCAGCAGTTGAGAGTTTGACGAGGGTAGCAACTCCAGCGTCATCGCAACAGCGGTACGCACAGCTGCACGAGATATCCAATGCAGTTCACGATCCTGTACTACATCGCTAGAGTTTGTCTTGTTGTCGTGGATAAGTAGAGATGCCTGCAGCTCGCTCAACGCCCGTGAATCGCGTCGTAACGTCACGGTTGCATCCACTGGGTAGAGATTTATGCCATCTGTAGAGCTCGGCGCGACGCGGCATACAGCGAAAAGATTGTCACCAATGCTGCAAAGAACATATTGACTAGATCCACGAGGACGGGATCGCAGAATCGACGGGGAGACGCGGCAGCGGCAGGTGAAGTGTACGCCGATGGCAGCATCTTCGCAGTGGCCATCGATTGGCATTTTTGATCGAATGGGTACACATATTACGCTCAAATAAGGCATATCTCTCTGGACTATTTTTCCGGGGATCCGCATCTTGGTTTCAGTATGCTTCTAATATAAAATTCCATATCGACACTCGGTTTGTGATGCGTTACTTTGCAATCGACCTAAAGTAGCGCAAAGTAACGCTGAGAGCATAAATTTCCCGCGGGTGCTTGGTCCCGCGGGACTGAATACAAAATTTTGGCTTTAATTTAAAAATCCTGATCGAAATATTTCAACAAAACAGATTTATGCAATTATTTTTTTGATCTGACCGAAACAACATTTTTTTTATTTTAACAAAAAAAAAAATCTGAATGCTGCGAATCCCGCTGTTGCCGTACATCCACTTCATGTGTATTCTGTATTTCTACTGCAGATCTACCCATTGATCAGGCCAAGCTAAAATACCAGTCGAAAGAGCCATAAAACGAGGGCATTCTCCGACTGGTTTCATCCTTTACCGGTTTCCTTGAGGCATTGAGAGCGTGGAAAGCATTTATTACCACATATGCTGCACACAGTTACAATACTCTGCTTAGTGCCAAGGACCGGAATTTATTTAATAATTTTCGGTCCTTGGCAACAAAATGTTATTTCAGCAAGTTGAGACTCTCAAAATAAAGTGTTTAGTATCGCTATCCAATAATTGTTTTATTTTCATGACATTGCCTATTCTGCCATATCTTGACAATATTATTTTAGGAAATCCTGCTGGACGGTGATTTGCGATACGCAGTGGGGGTGAAGAAAAGTCTTCATCGAAAACTACAAAATCGATAGTAACGCGACGCTGCTAATAATTTAGCTTAAAATCTTAGCTGAGTTTCGTTTGAGGTGCTTATATTTACTTACTGTGAATCAATACAATAAAACTGAGCTACTAAGCGATAAATACATTTCGTGGCATGTTATTCTGTAGTAGGATATTTTCGTTCCAGCAAGATTCAAGTAGCGGGATCTGTTTCTCAATACAGCCTTTGCTACAATCCTCATAGGTTCGCATGACTCAAGGAGGATTATGCGTCACCTACGATGATGCAGCAAATATGCCAGTGCTGCGCTTACTATGACAGAGTTCTCATTTTCCTATTTTCCCGTTGTCTAGAGAATCCAAGTCCAGCGTACACCCATGAGGTTTTACGGCTTTCTGCTGATTGCGATTATCGCTCTAACACGCAACGAAGCGGTACCTCTGTCTGCTAGCTTCGGCCAATGGACGGGCTTAACGGGATCCTCTAGCTCAATTTCGTCCCATGGTAGGCAGATTTTGAGATTTAACGGCTATGAAGACCCGGCGAACGAGGGTGACAACCACGCGAACGACAATGACGAGAGGGGGATTACAGTCGTCAATAACGCCGGAGAGCAATTCTTGAAACTGAACGGTGGTTTTTGGCGAAGAGTTACCAAGCCTCGAAAGTACGATCACTGGGCGCAGCGGTGGGTATTGGCATATGGACACCAGCTGAAGTATGGTCCTTTCGCGATCGACGAGGCCAAGAAACGAAAGCATCACGATTGAAGAAGCCCGTAAGGCTATTGATTCGGATTTTGACTTCGTAGCTCTACTTTACGATTTCTAAAGCAACCATACAGACCTTGAATTTCGAAATGAACAACACTCCGCTTAAAAATTGAATTAACTACTTGTTCGGAATGCAAATACGGCACCTAAACATTATTTTCACTACGTAGTACTACTACAGTGGAGTCCCCCCTACTTTTCATCTTTTGTTTCTTTCACACCATAAAGTGTAGCACCGAAGAATCGCAGCCTTATTGGTTATTTCTGATTGATTACGATTCCAAGATCGATTATGCAGCTCTCCTACTTATACCGTTCGAAAAGGTACATGTAAGGATAGCTTACCAAAATAACTGCAGAAGTTCTATTGACGGAGTAAATATGGGCGTTGGTAAATACGATATTGTATAATATTAAAAATAACGTGTCCTGGGAGGACACCTCACAACTCGAAAATCTGTATGGACAGCGGCATCACACGGATAAATTCGTTAATAAAAACGTTGCCTGCAGCACAAACAACGTTCAAATCACATCACGCCACACAGCATACCCACAACTAAGTGACACACTATCAGGGGTCCCCGAAAAAAAGTATTCATAAAATATATTCGAGTTTTTAATTATAATGATTAGTTCCAAGCCACTAAAAAAACTAAACCAATAAATTGTAAGCTAGGTATTGTTGCTTTCGGACGTAATTGCATATCCAGGTATATTCACTAAACTTGTTGGTGCGTGGCTTTCTGGTGAGTTGCTCAAGTGTTCACCTTTTACCAGTACTCACTGCTCATACCTGAACTTAAGAACAGAAACTCGATATCGCGTGCGTCTAAAGGAGAATCGTGAATCATGAATCAGGACGCGTTCAATACTCTCATCATCCACTGTAGTACCAAGAGAGACCACACTGTCCCTCGCTCATGACACTGATACTACTAAGCAGCACCAGTGTTAAATAGCAAGACCATATTATTTTATTTTGCTAAGCATGTTGGAACACGTAAATTATAGCAAATACAAGCACAGGACGATAGTAAGAACCTGTACAGTATGTAGGCAGAAGTAAGCAATCACACGGCCCTCGAACGTCAGGTCCATCAAATGTACGATGGTCAGCGATAGAACGCAGATCGTTGGAGACAATACCGCTGTGTAAACAAAAAAGAGCTAGAATAGCGATATAATTTTGCGTTTTAAGTAGCGGTACGTTAAATCTCTCCATGATTCTTCTTCACCCAAAACTTCAAGTAGTCACCCCACCGTTCATCAATCGAGCCAACCTTAGCAATTCCGTTGTGATTCATCTCAGTCATAAGCTTGAAAGGCGTTGCTCCCTTTTTGTAGAGCTTCTCAAAACTCGTTTTTACGTTCAGAAATAGCTGCAGGTTGCGGAAGTCCTTGTTCGTCAATGCTTTCCATTTTGTACCGAGCTGCGCCGCGAGTTTTTCGGCGGCTAGTTTTGCAGCACTTTGGAATCCTCTTTCTTCATTGTCGGTGTTGTAGCTCTCGACTAAGTTGCCTTCATCGTCAATTTTGTCGCTTCTTAGAAACCGTTCGCCATCTCTACGCGTCGACACTGCATTTTCTTGCTGCTGTTTATCAAAGGTTGCAACCCTCGCCGATTTCGTCTGTCTCGAGACCATCGTCGGCGATACAGCCTCGGTCAAGCTCGTAAGGAGGATAGGTGCTGCTATCAGGAGCAGCAGTATGTACATGTAGTATCCGCGCATCGCTCAGTTGATAGGTTGCCCACAGCGGATATGGACAGGTGGTCACCGCGGAGCAAATTCTGGAATGAATAGCGACTGCGCTACCGTCTTACCGCGTAGAGAAAAAAACATCTGTTCAGAGACAGTAAACCTTTGAAGTCGCATACCACGGGCATGAAGCCGTCCCGGCCGAGGACGAGCTTCCAACCACATGGATTTGCAGCAAAAATATGGATTTGATTCCGGATTTGACATGGACAGCGAATGACCAGTGGCAGCACCATCGGCAGTTATCAGTATAACTTACCACTACCAGCGCTGACGTCGATTGTGCAACCATTGCATTTCATTTGAGTAATAACTACAAGTATAGGTGCATATATATTTGAACGTGAAGCAATTCCGAGAATGTACAACACAGTAAATAAAGTCTCGGTCCTCTGTACAGCTCAGTCTTTTACGTGTATGCATATGCGTAAGTTCTGCACACCGAAAAACCGCATTTGTGTCTCAATCCACGAATTGGAGAGGCCCTATGTAAAGCCGTCTCATAATGTCCAGCCTGTATTGTACAGATGATCCTGCTCAAAATGTTGCCGAAGTACAAACTATACAGTTCAGTTTGCAATCCTGCTTTATGCACGATCACGTGTCAAATATGGGCAAATCTCGAAGACAGATGTTTCAGTTATCCAGTGAATAACCATAACCTCAAATAATATTTACACCACGCAGCTCCTACAGCTTTTCTTTTACTGCAGCATGTACGTGTAAAACCTCTACATCTATCCGAGGATACAGTGCGTGCTGGGATAAACAAAGCATGATGCATACACACACAAGTGACCCGACTCTAGTAACTCAATTAGCACAAAACCCAGAGCTGTTCCACGGTCAACTCGATATGAACTACGTACCCTATATTTAAAACGCGTTGCAGAATAGCATTTTGGCATACTTCGAAGATACCATCGCGATAAAAAACTCGATATGAACTGGTATAGAGTAAAAGGAAACACTTCGCCAAATTTGCCCAAAAGATTCCTGATAAGTACTAGCCTAATATACTTTGGAAAAGCATAATCTCTCTCTCTCTCCATGTAACGACGCACCAACGTCACAGCCAATGCTGGTTATGACGTTGGTACCAATGCTGGTTATGACGTTGGTACCAATGCGTCCTACCTTCCTTAATTGACTTCCTTCTACTGTCCTATCTAAATGTCAATGAGCGGGCAGGCCGCCACGTGCCTGGTCGAAGGCAA